TACAACATACCAAAACTTATGGGATGCAGAAAAATCAGTGCTTAGAATGAAACTTATAGCTTTAATAACCTACATTAAAGAAGATGATCTCAAATCAGCAACCTAATCTTTTACCTGAAACAACTAGAAAGAAGAGCAAGTTAAACTCAAAGCTAACAGAAGGAAGAAAATAACAAAAATTAGAACAGAAATGAATGAAATGAAATAGAGAACAGAAAAATAATAGAGAAATATCAACAAAACCAAGAGCTGGTTCTTTGAAAATATCAACAAAATTGATAAGCCTTTAGCTAGACTAGCAAGAAAAAAAAAAGACTCAAATGATTAAAATAAAGAATGAAACTGGAGGGAGAACTACTGACATTAAGAAATAAAAATGTGTTATAGAGGAATACTATGAGCAATTATATATCAATAAATTAAGATAACCTAGGTGAAATGAACAAATTCCTAGAAAGAAACGAATTACTGAAACTGACTCAAGTAGACATAAACATCTGAATAGATCTATAACAAGTAGAGAGGTTAAACTAGTAATCAAAAAACTTCTCACAACGAGAAGCCCAGGCCCAGATGGCTTCACTGGTGAATGCTAACAAATATTTAAAGAATTTTAAAACCTACCCTTTACAAACTCTTGCAGAAAATAATTGAGAAGGGAATTCTTCCGAACTCATTCTATGAGCCCAGTATTACCTTAATCCAAAAACTGGAAAAAGAAATCACAAGAAAACAAAACAAAGCAAAACACTACAAAGCAACATCCTTTATCAATGGCGATCTAAAAATCTTCAACAAAATACTAGCAAACAGAATACAGTGACAAATAGAAAGTATTATACACCATGAAAAAGTGGGATTTATCCCAGGAATGCAAAATTGATTTCACACATAAAAATCAGTCAATATGATGTTATATCATATTAACAGAATAAAGGACAAAAACCACATGGTCACCTCACGGATGCATAAAAAGCATTTGGCAAAATGTGACACCACATCATGTCAAAAATACTTAACAAACTAGGAATAGAAGGGAATTTCCTCAAGATGATAAAGGGCATCTATCAAAAGCATATAACACACTTAAAGGTGAAAGACTGAAAGTTTCCCCCACAAGATTGGGAACAAGACTAGAATATTCACTCTTAGCCACATTTATTCAACACTGTACTAAAGGTTCTCAGAAAGAGAAATTAGGCAAAGAAAAGAAATAAAAGGATTCCAGATTAGAAAGAAAGAAAACCATCTATTTTCAAATGACATGATCTTGCATATGTAAAATCTTAAGAAATCTACAAAAAATACTTAGAGCTAGTAAGTTCAGCAAAGTTTCAGGATGCAAAATCAATACACATTCTCTAACTTGTCTGAGAAAAAAAGAAAAATAAATATACACAGAATCAGTTGTATTTTTATGTATACTTACAATGAACAATCCAAAAATGAAATTTAGAAAACAATTCCATTTATAATAGTACCAAGAAGAATATGATATTTAGGTACAAATGTAACAAAAGAAGTGTAATATTTGTACATTAAAATGACAAAACATTATTGAAAGAAATTAAAGAAAACCTAAATATATGGAAAAGATATTAGAGTTTCATGGATCAGAGGACTTAGTATTGTTAAGATGGCAATTCTTCCCAAATTAATGTATAGATTTGATGCAATCCTTATCAAAATTACACTTGTCCTTTTGGCAGAAATCGATGAGCTAATCCTAAAATTCATATGTAAATGTAAAGGAGTCAGAATAGCAAAAAAAAAAATCTTGCAAAAAAGAGTAAAGTTGAAGGATTTATACTTCCTAATTGTAAAACTTACTATAAAGCTGCAGTGATCAAGACCATATGGTACTGGCATAAGGATAGACATACAGACCAGTAGTATAAATGGAGAGGCCAGAAATAAACCCATTCATTTAAGATCAACTGATTTTCAACAAGGGTATCAAGACAATCAATGAGTGAAAGAATATTAAAAAAAAAAAAACAAATGGTGTTTGTTTTTTTTAAAAAATAAAAAACAACTGAATAGCCACATGCAAAAGCATGATTTTGTAACATGACCTCACATGATATACAAAAATTATCTCAAAATAAATCAAAGACCTGCATGTAAAAGCTAAAACAAAAAAAGTCAATTTTTCTCTCCTAGAAGAAAACATGAGTAAATCTTTGTGGGCTCAGATTAGCTGATAGTTTCTTAGATATGACACTTAAAGCACAAGGATCCAAAGAAAAACATACATACATTGACTTCATCAAAACTAAAAACTTCTGTGTTGCAAAATGATTCCATCACGAAAGTGGAACGACAAATCACAGAATTGGAGAAAATATTTTCAAATCAAATCCAATAAGGATCTAGCATGCAGAATATATTTTAAAAACTCATAAAACTCAGCAATGAAAGGCAAAACCCCAACTAAAAAATGGGCATATAATTTGAATAGATATTCTCCAAGAAGACATACTAGTATCCAGTAGGCTCATGAAAAGATGCTCAACATCATTAGTTACTAAGGAAATACAATCAAAATCATAAGATACCACTTCACACCCACTGGAATAGCTATAAATGTTGTCTAGGCTGTGGAAAATTGGAAGCCTCAATCATTGCTGGTGAAAACGTAAAATGGTACAGTGGCCTTCGTGAATAGGTTTGACAGTTCCTCAAAAAGCTCACACAGAATTTCTGTATGACCTGATAATTCCTGGAAATGCCCAGATAGGTATGTACTCAAGAGAACTGAAAGCCTATGTTCACACAAAAACTTGTACATGAATGTTTACCATAGCATTCATTATTTATAGCAATCGTTAAAAACTGGAAACAACCTAAATGTCCACCAACTGATGAACAGATAAACAAAACGTGGCATCGTGTGCTACAAGGTGGTACATTGGAATGTTACCTGGCCATAAGAAGTAATCCTACACCATAAATGAGCCTTGAAAACATTAAGCTAACTGAAAGAAAAGGCCATATATTATAATTCCATTTAAATGAAATGTCCAGAATAGGCCAATCTTTAAAGCCAGAAATTATATTAGTGGTTAACAAAGATTGAGGGAAGGGGAAATGGGAAGTGACTGCTAATGGGACCGGAGTTCCTTTTTGGGGTGATAAAAATATTCTGGAATTAGAGAGTGGTGATGGTTGTACAATCTTACAAATATACTATAAAGCACTGAATTGTATACCTTAAAAGGGTGAATTTTATCTCAATTTAAAGAAGTACCAAAAGGGAATGCAAAAAAAAAAAAAAAAAAGGATACAGTAGTGTAGGGTGTTATTATCTATCACCACTATTTGTGGGAAAGAAGGATGCAGTAACTTTACACTGTTGCTTACATGTACACATGTAAGGATACACAAGGACGTGGTAACATTAATTACCTCTGAGGAGGGCAACTGGTATCTGGAAGACAGAGATGAGAGAGAGTTTTTCACTGTTACAGACTTGTTTCTTTTGAATTTTGTACCACATAAATGTAACATCTATTTTTAATTATAAAAGCTGAACCAATAATAACAGCTACCAGTCATTGAGTGCTTACTATGTGCCAGGTGCTTTATAGTCATTTAATCTTCATAATGACAGTCTTTTGTCCTATTTTTAGGACAAAAGGATATTTTATCTCCATCTACAGGAAAGGAAACTGAGGCATATAGAAAATAAATTATATGCCCAAATGAATGCAGCTATTAAGCAGCAGAGTTAGAATTTCAACCCAGCCTATCTGGTTCCAGAGTCGTTGTCTGGACTGCTACGCTATATTACCTCCCAGAAATCTAAAGGAATGAGGGAGGAGGACAGAGGGGAAAGTGAGTGAGAAGAAAGAATGGAGGAAGTAAGATGGGAGGAATGCAAGGGAGAAGATGGAGGGAATAGAGGGACAGGAAAAAGAAAGGTACCCAGAGGGAGAAAAGTGGAAGGAGGAAATGTGTAGATTAGATTGCATGATTTAAAGGGCAAGTACAGGCCTCCCTTTCATAAACATCTCCCTTCTTGTCCTTAAAGTTCTGATCTTGGCCATTTGAAGAGAACAGTGAACACTGGGTATAGGAAAGCCTAGTTCCCATGAAAGCCTGCATAGCCTAGCATAATCTCTGGAATCACATCTGATTAGAAGCTCAGCTGTACCATTTTGCGGCTGTGTTTGTTGGGGTAAACTCTTCCCAGGCTTCCATTTCTTTATCTGTAATATGGGTACTTGCTTCACAGAGTCGATTGAGGATTTAAACAACATATTTCAAGCACAAGTAAGTGAATAACGTATTGCAACTATCATAACATTAGCAAATTCACTCTGGACACTAGATGATTGAGTTATAAAGCATAAGAAGCCAATGGAAAGATCATACTCAGTGGAAGAAAGGCCATCAAACAGATAAAGGCCAAAGATAGCAACTCCAAATAGGAGAAAAAGGAAGAAAGCTAAAGTTATACATACTCTGGCAACTTCACAATTTCACCTGGAAATGCCCAAATCACATCGCACTAAGGAGAAATGAATTCCCACAGCCCTTTGTACCTCTGAAAAGACTCCTTGACTTTTTAGGAGCCCATTACCATATCTGTGCCAAAAGAGGGCAACACCAAGGCACTCGCACTGCCAGCCTTCCTTAAGTAATAACAACTTCTTTATTAGGGTCATAGTTGTTCATCTGCTAATGGATCCCATCTTATAAAAGATGAAATCATTTATAAGTTCATCTTAAGGCCTTCCAGCCTCCCAGCTACTCCTGGTTTTAACTTCTGGTAGAGTTGTGCTAATGACTGATAAGAGTTAAAAAAAAAAAAGATCTAAGGAGTATGTTTCAGAAAACATAGGCTTTTATTTGGATAAAGATATAAATAGCAGTAACTGTAAAGGCTAGGATACTTAATATGTACACTATAGCTTTAAAAGGAGAATTTGGGGGCATTTCCTTATGTTATATACAATAAAAGAATCATGGTCCCTTCAGATTATTGTTTTTTTCTGTTTTAACACATACATCTTGAGTTTCTTTTGCATCCTTCTCTCCTTGACATCATCCACTCTGTCAAATCCTGAAAGAAGGAACATAAAGAACGTCACAAATACAAAGAATGCCCTCAGCAATGACAAATTTAATTAGCAGCCCTGGGAAAGGAGATTTGCAGGGCTATGAGTAAAGGAAATACATTCTTTCCTGTCCTTTTCTTGCCTAATCTTACCATTCACCTTCATAGACATTATATTGTGACTTCTAAGACCTTTTTCTCTCCTTAGTGACCATCCAGTTACTTCAAGGAAACAACCCAATTGCTTTGCCTAAGAGCAAAGAACTTTCTATGCCTAAGGGTTACCAATGCTGAAACAAAGTGCTGAGAGAAGCTGAAGACATTGCTGTTTAATAATAGTGAGGTATTCCTGTTTGTCCAGGCAGGGTCTAGCACTAGGAAGAGGACTATACTTACCTCTAGAGCAAGGACTAACTCCTTATATCTGTGTGTCCCTTTTTACTTCGGAGGTGCAGCCTTTGACTGCTTGTGAGTAAGAATCTAAGACAGTCTCTATGTCTCTCACACAAGGGTTCCAGGAAGAAATGCTTACTCTGTATTCCTAAATTTCTAAGAGTTATCTTCCTCCAGAAAGTCTCCTTTTATCCAAATCCTGGTGAAGCAGGTATCAAAAGGCCTGACGCTCTTAGTCAGGGACATGAATTCTCTCTTTTCACATCTCATTGCAGAGGCCTTAAGCTCAGATACTCACTGGTGGTAGACAGGGCAGGTCACACATCGAGAGAAGAACTCTTTAAAGTGCTGAAAGGAAAAGAAGGTACATTAGCTCTGGGATTAGTGCTTCATTCTCCTAACATGCCACTTCATCAGAACTTACAAGGTCCTCATTCAACGTATTCACTCATGACTAGGGGAACAGGGAGGAGTTACTGATGGCAAAGTGGGCCTGGAAAACTGATTTGGGGTTACAGAGGAACTGGAATGTGTTCTAGACTCAGAAGGGCTGTAGGTAGATGTGTCAAATTATAGACTGAACCATAGAGTATAGGTTCACTGAGCAGGGCTAAATGTTAATATTTTAATGATACTGAGTAGTAGCTGGCAAAGGTGGAAAGTTAAGAAACCCAGTCCAGACCTAGATGCAATAATATCTGGAAGGATACATAAGGTAGGTGGAAACTTTCTATGTGGAGAAACAAAGGATTCAGAGTAAAGGGAGTCAGAGCCAGTAAAAGGGAAAGTAAGGAAGAGATTCCGGTGGCAGAAAGAGCATCATAGGGTAGAACTAAGGGAGTTAGGTGTGAGTTGAAGGGCAGCTGAGAAACAGGTACCTCGAGCGTTTGGCTGCGAAGCTCTAGGGGAATATGCATGAAGATACCCTCTGGCATTTTCTGTAACATTAACACATGGCACTCTAGGAATCGGACAAAGCTATGAGCACCAAATAGTGAGGCATTGGTTCTTTTCACCAACTGGCAAGACTTAGAAAAATAGTGCTCAAAGAGGTCCCATCGTGACTCCTGGGCAAACCTGGAGGAAAAGAGTAACAGCTCTCAGCAATATCCACTGCTTACCAACCACGGCTTTTGCTTAAAATTGTCACTTCTTTAAGGCTCTAAGACCTCCTGGACAGTCAGAAGTGCAGTGATGTTAGAAAGTGACCAAGGCTATTAACTCACATACAAGGAAGTGACCAAGGCTATTAACTCACATACAAAGAAACTTAAAAGGAGACCAGTTATATTCAGCCTTGCTATGGGTTACTCTAGCACTTAAATGTAAACCTAAACTTAACCCTTGACCTATAGGCCAAAACCTGTTAAAGGACAAGAGCCCTTCTAATAAGATAGGAGGGGATGGGAGGTATATGGGCTTTAAAAGTTGGTTAGAGATATTCAACAGTCCTGCCTGGTGGGGAGAGATAGCTTAAATGACTTAAATGCCTATCCTTTCCCACAGCACTTGAGTAAGACATTACCACATGGCCAGGGAGGAGTGGACTCCCAGCATGATGTTGCTCTGAGAGATTAGAACACAGCTGTGCTCATAGATTTGAACAAAATGCAGACACTCACTAAAGGGCCGACATAGCAATCCTGTGAACACAGAAGGTAACCAGGCTAGCATATATTGTCAGTGTAGGAACTAGGGTACAGAAGGTGTGTGATACAGGAAAGGAAACAAGACCCCAAAGGCAGACACCCCTGAATCACAGCATGGTTCCCAGACTTTAAGGAGCCAGAGGTCAGAGGCAGAGGCCATGCCTGAGGGACAGGTTCATGACTGCCTGTATTCCAAACCTAGAGCCCTATGTGAGGTCTGAATCCCTCAGGAGTACAGCAGAGACCTGTGCAAGATTTACCTTTTCCGTAGAGCAGCAGATCTAAGCAAGCAGAATGAAAGCAGGCCAGGCCAAGGACATCATAACCCTGGGAAATGAGTGCCCACTGACTCTCCAGCACATGGACACACAGACCAAATCTGCCAAGAGACAGAGCCACTGGGACCAGCTAGGGAGTAAGGAGGATGGGTAGGAAAGGAAGGGGTCTTACACCCTAAAAGCAGCCTAACATCTCCTAGATCTCCTCTTCACAGCTCTATTTATATAGAGAACATCTGTGTCTGGGATCAGACCCATCTTTAGGCAAAGGAGGTGGGAATTTGCCTCGGAGGCAATTTCCAGGGTCTTGAGCTGCTGCAGTTTTCTATCTCCCTGCAGAATTTTTTTTGAAGAAAAGTTGTCCATGAGCCCCAAGTACTGAGGAATATATAGCAGCTCTGACTGCATTTCCACTCCTGACTGTTCCACACTTAAGATATTGCTTCTGCAGTGGCCAAGGGAAAGATATCCCCAGGTGTGGAAATAGAACAGCATCTCCCTCTCCATTCCAAACTTCTCTGGGAAAATATACACACCCCTCTTAGAAAACAAATACAAATGACAGAAAATGACCTTAATACTTCTTCTTCAGAAATGCAGATCTGAAGAGAACTGAGAGGACCAGATTCTCCAGAGCTGGTTTCTTGAGGTATCTGCATATCTCACGAGCTTGAAAACCTGAGGAGGTTCAAGAGCACTGTGTGAGGTCTAGCTGTGAACATGTACTCTTTAAAAGCCCTAGACTCATCAGCTCTAAGTCCCATTAGCCAACTTGATGGAGAAGTCAAGGTGGCCAAGGCAGAGCTTGGTGTAAGCAAGGGCCTGCATGAGCTGAGCTGTGGCCAACAATCCCTCCCTGGAGAACCAACATAAACTGCTTTTTTGAAGGGCCATTTGCTCATAGTGCAGCCACTTCTCCTTGTTGCCCATGGTCTGGGAGAACTGAGAGACGTCCACATAGGTAGAGACAACCTGCAGGAGAACGAACACAGGGCAAAATATTCCCATTGTACATTCACATGACATTTCCATATTGTTCCTTTCCTCTGTAAGAGCCTATTATAGTGCCTTGCTGCTCACTCAGTCTGAACTCCTGGTATCCCTACCACTTGCCTCCAACCCAGCTGGAAAAATATGCTCCTTCTCACCTCTGCAGTTCTAATGGAATCATTCTCACTGCCTGTCTTTAAACAAACCAATTTCTCTACATGCTTCTGCCTTTCCTCTCTAATCCATGACTTTCCCCTTCAAAACAATGATTAAACTACTTTGTCTTCTCTAATTTAAGACCTCTGATATTTGCTCTGTAGAGCTCTTCAGGGCTGCTGCCTAGATTTCTATATGACTACATGCACATTTGACATAGTGTTCTCTTCTTGGAACACTCTTTCCTAGCTTTCCAGGATGTCATGCTCTCTTGGTTTTCCTTGTCTCCCTGGCAACTTATTCTCAATTTCTTTTGTTGGTTTCTCCTCACCACTCTGACCTTTTAATACTGGAGTTGTTAACAAAGTCCTCGGACCTTTTTTCTTTTCTATACTCATTCCCTTGGTGTTCTCACCCAGTCCTATGGCTTTAAATAGTATTTGCACACTAATGGTTCCCATATGTCTATTTCCAGCTCAGACCTCTCCCATGAACCCCAGACTTGTGTATTCACCTGGACTCGTATTAACCAGACTCATCTCCACCTGGATGTCCAATAGGCATCTAAAATAAAACATTTCCAAAGCCTAGCTCCCAAATCTTTCTCCAAATCTGTTCTTCCTGTAGACGTCCCTATCCCAATTAAGAGCATCTCTATCCCTCTGTAAGTTCAACTAACAACTTTTGGGATTATCCTTGACTCTTTCCTTCACAACCCAGAACTGATCCATGAGTGAATCCTGTTGGCTCTATTTTGACAAAAGACCACCCTCAACTTATTTTTCCACCACAATAATCCAAGCCACCACCATCTCTTGCTTATATTGCTGCAATAGCCTCCTAACTGGTCTCCCTGCTTCCTTCCTTGTCCCCTTCAGGACACTTTCAACACAGTAGACAGATGATCTAATTAAAATATAAGTAGATCCTATCACTCCTCTTCTCAGAACCCATTAATGGCTTCCCATCTCTTTCAGAGTAAAAGCCAAAACTCCTACCGTGGCCTATCTAAGGTCTGCAACATTTGCCATCCCACCCCTTCCCAGTCCTTCTGACCTCATCTCTTGGTTCACTCGCTTCCTCTTCCTCCCCTCCAGTCACGCTGTCCTTCAAACACAGAGAGTATGCCTTGGGCATTTACTGTGCCTTCTGCCTGAATACTCTACTCACAGACAGCCCGGCTTTCTTGCCTCCTTCAGATATTTACTCATGTCACCTGCTCAGTAAAGCTTTCTCTGACCACCTTATTCAAAACGATACCCCATCCTTCACCTCACAGAATCCCATATCCCCTTGTCTCCACTTAATTTTCTCTATTGCATTGATTATCACCCAACATGCTGTATATATTACTTATTATATTTCCCTGGAGTCAAGATCAGTGCCTGGCATATAAGAGGTGTTCACCAAATAGGTCGCTATTGCATATGTGGATAAGACAGAAAGATAAGACACTAAAATTAGGAAGACACATTTTCTTTTGTTTTTTTTCCTAAATCAGCAGTTTCAAATCCTTTTTTTAGATCACAGGCTTCTTTGAGAATCTGATGAAAGCTATGACCCCTTTTCTTCCTCCTGCCAGCCCCCAAAGGTTCTTTTGAATATACACATAAAATTCTGCATTCAGTTCAGAGAGTTCACAGATAATCTCATACCTGGAAACCCATCTATAAACTGCAAATTAAGAAACCTCGCTTGAACACATGATCAGTGTTGTCCAGTTAAGTCTGGGTTATTGTGGAACCATGCTAAAACCAGGAACTTGGCAGGCTCCTTCTCCACAGCACTTGAGGTTTCTAAGTGAGATCCAAAGGTAAAGCAAGGACTTGCTTACCTGGGCTTCATTTGCAAGCTCCTCGGCTGAATTTTTCTGCATGAGAGTAGCGAGGCAAGCAAACCTGCAGCTACTGGCTGTGGTCTCCAGGTTATAGAGCTGCCAGAGTAGGGAGAGGCAATGCACCTGCTGCTGCAGGACTGCCAACTTCTTCTTACTGTTTTGAGGCACAGGGTGGTTAGCACACCCTTATTCTTTACTAATGCCCAACCTTCCCTCCCCATAAGAGCTCCAAGTCTACTTATCATGGGGCCATCTACAGATGTCCAAATGTGGAAACAGTTCTTGGATCCCACTACTCCTAACCTCATATGCCATTTTAATTAGTCTCTCTTGATCAAGAAAAGTTCAGAGAGAGGTTTCAAAAAAAGATTCTTTCTTTGAATCCCTATTTGTTACATGTAATTGGCTGGGGGAGTAAGATGGAAGAGTGAGAACTGTATGTTATACACTTATCTGTTACATGCACATATATGTATGCTGACTGTTGTATGTCTTTTTATCTGCTTGCCTGTTAGATGCTTGAAGATTACTTGATTATAAAAGAGTAGTTTTAGGTAAAAAAAAAAAAGGCAAAGCTCAGGCCAGTTAGCTACAGTTTTAGGGAGCCTTCTCACCTCTCACTAGGATTATTTGGAGGTTGGCTTGGGGAACAGGAATGCCAATACTTTTCCAGGAATATCTGGAAAAGGACACCAAACCAGGTCTGAGGGAAATTCCTTTTCAGCAGTAGAAGGGCTTTCCTAGCCAATTTTTTGGCTAAAGTAATGTGTCCCATGCTGAAACAGACCTGGAGATGGGAAAACAAGAAGAAGTAATGTAAATATAAGGTTTTGGATATAACACACTGGCTCTTTTGAGATGTGTAATTGGGGTAATTGAGGTCCTTGTTAGTGTGACTACCAACCAGGCTATGCTCTGAGGTGCTAGAGTGAGCTGAGCTAGAGCACAGCCTGGTTAGCAGTCACACTAACAAGCATCAGTATGGCAAAAAGCAAGTAAAGGGTTGAGAAAATAGGATTATGGCAAAAGCATCCTCCTTTCTCATCTCCCGCACATTTGTCAGTGGGCAGTAGAGGAAGGCTGTGATTTAAAATACGATGTTGCTAGACTGAGATGGCATCATCATTTGAGTGGAGACCCAGATACTCTCACATGGCATGGAAAGCATCTATAATATCACCAAATCCTTTCTCTCTCCTTCCTAAACAGGTTGAACCATAGTAGATGTGGAATGGGAGCTGGGGAACTACCTTGAAGTTATCCAGTATCTTCACATTCTAAGGCTGAATTCCTCAAGAAAGTGATAAAGTCTACGTGATTCTAGAACAATCTTGGGAGGACTGTACAATAACTTTCTCTTATAAAGGGAAAGAATAATTATTTAACTTTGCTCTGAAGACCTCTTGGTTGAAGCATAAATAATTCAACAATGTGACAGCTCTAATATTTCCTTTGTCTTTCAAGACATTATGTACATTAAGTTTACTCTCCTAACCAAATTATCTTACGGTTTACATTAAAATTAGTTTACATATGCTCCAATGAGAAAATTATCTTATATCTACTTCAATGAACATAAATGGATAATTCACAAAGAAATATAAATGACAAATAAACATAGAAGAATGATGTATCTTAATTAAGAGAAACATTAAAACAATGTAACTTTGTCTGGGAATTAGCAAGGTTAGAAAAGACTGATAGTAACTGGTGTTATTAAGGATATGAAGAAACGGGAAAAACTTGAGTTGATACAATATTTTTGGTTGGCAATTTGGTGATGTATTTATTAATTTTAAAATTGTGCCTTAATATTTCCACCTTTGAAAATTTCTCTTACAGAAAACACTCTCACAAGGGGAGAAAGAGATATTTAAGAAGAATAGTCACTATAGTAATGTTAATAATAACCTCCAAATTAGAGATAACCAAAATGCACCTGAAGAAGGAAGTAGCTAAGCTATGATCTAGCCAATGGAGTACTTGGTAGTTGTAACTATCTGGTGGAACAGTATGCACACCAATATGTAAACATGTTCAATCTGAACTATTAAGAATAAATGCAAGCTGCAAGAACAAGAAAATGTAGAATATGATCCTATGAAAAATAATGGAAAACAATAATGATATAGCTGTGTGTGTACAGTTGGTGGAACATGCATACAATTATTAATTATGGTACAGGGAGTAGGATTAGTGGGAGCTCTTTCACTTTCTACCTATTATATATTTCCATATTTTATCATTCTCTTTATTATACTTTTAGTTCTGGGGTACATATGCAAAATGTAAGGGTTTGTTATATAGGTATACACATGCCATGATGGTTTGCTACACTCATCAACCCGTCATCTACATTAGGTATTTCTCCTAATGCTATCCCTCTCCTCGCCCCCCAGCCCCCAACAGGTTCCAGTGTGTGATGTTCCCCTCCCTGTGACCATGTTTTCTCATTGTTCAACTCCCACTTATGAGTGAGAACACATGGTGTTTGGTTTTCCATTCTTGTGTTAGTTTGCTGAGAATGTGTATGAACATTTTAAATGTGTATAACCTTTTATCACATTATCACATTTACAATCGTACATAAAAACACAAAACGATTTTAAAAGAAATAATAGGGTAACCCTCAAGGAGAAATAGCCAGCACTTCAAGGTCACCCTCTGCCCTCACCTCTGACAGAAAACAGCAGAAAGTGGCCTCCTCAAACTGACAGATCTTCGCCTTGTGTTTTTTCAAAAATGAAAATGCTGAGGGTTGGCCCAGAAGACTGCTTGCCTTCCTCAAATAAAAGAAGGCCTCCAAACAGGGCAAGGGATAAAGAAACTGAATTAGGATTAGGATGATGCTGGAGTGAGATTAGGGCAAAGGCTGGAGTAAGGTTATGATGAGAGTCAAGATCAGAATTTGAATACAATTTGGATTTCAAGCTAGAAACAGGAGCTGGACTGCTTGTACAAGAGTCGGGGGCAGTGCTGACATGGGTTGGTGCTATTCCGCTACCACATTCCCACTTCATTTTTTTTCCTGCCTTCTTTCTAGCTCTTCTCCCTCTCCTACTTTCTTCCACTTTTCACTCATGGTTATGATGTTAAGAAATCTCAATCAAATGCTCAGTAAAAGGCTCAGCTGAAGGGTGGATTGCAGAACCTGCTCACCATGTAACTATCTGACAGGTCCAAGGAGGCAGCCGCAGCCTCTAGCAGGTAATAAAATGCACAGGTGGTTTCTCCAATGACCAAGCAATGCTGGGTGAGGGGTGAGAGCACTAACTCCAGGATATCCTTACAGTGACAAGGCTTTGTGGTCAACAGGTCTGTCTCAGGGCTGGTCTGAGCCAGCTTCCTCTTCACTTGATCTAGGAACTCTTCCTCTGTTCTTTGTGGAAAGAAAATGAATAACTGAGAATGGCAACCTTTATTTGGGCATTACCAGGTCTCAAAGTCACTTTTTCCAGGAAGCTTTCTGGTATCATTCATTAATTCTTTGTCTATCCTTCTCCATTACTCCATAAAAATTTAAAAGTCAGGAACCAGAGCTATAACTGCAAAGCTCTATTAGGAATTTTTAAAAGCTGAAATCCAATGTAAATACCTCAATCTAAATGGGGAAATACCACACTTGAATAGTTAAATAATCTAAATGTTAAATTAAACATAAAAAATGATACAAGGCAATAAATAATGATACATTTTTTTTCTGTTAGCATATTTGAATTTTCTAATACCACATTTTATCCTATAACAACCCTGTCATTCAGGCAGACAAGAATTATCTCCTTTAGGTCATTGGGACTCCAAGAGATTACATATGGCTTCATAGCTACTGAGAAGTAGAACCAAAACTAGAGCTTAACTCTCTGACTACTAATCTAGTGCACTTTTCACAGGCATGCTGAGCTCAAAAGTCAGACTTCTCTGAGCTATAATAATCTAAACGAAGTGGAGACTGAGGAGGGCCTTGAAGGCTGGTGAGATGTGGAGGTCACTCAGCATTTAACAAGGGAGAATTGTGTGAACAAAGACATACAGGTTAGTGTGGGGGTGGTTCATGTAGAATGGATTTTTGTTTGAAAATAGTAAGAAATCAAATTAAATAAGTGGGATGAAAAACTGTATGTAGAGTGGCTGCTGAGCTCTAGGTAGGAACATCGAACACTGACAAACATCAGAGACCCAGGAAGTACATGGTTAGGAAATGTATATTCATTTTAGTATCCTCTGGGGTAAAAAGAATTGAGAAGACAAATTTCTAGCTGGAAAAAAATATGCTACTTATAAAATGAATTTAAAAGCTATTAAAAGGCTGGGTACGATGGCTCATGCCTGTAATCCCAGCACTTTGGGAGGCCAAGGTGGGTGGATCACTTGAGATCAGGAGTTCAAGATCAGCCTGGCCAACATGGTGAAACCATGCTGCTACTAAAAATACAAAAATTAGCCAGGCATGGTGGGGTGTGCGTGTAATTCCAGCTACTTGGGAGGCTGAGGCAGGAGAATTGCTTGAACCCAGGAGGTGGAGGTTGCAGTGAGCTGAGATCATGCTACTGCACTCTAGCCTGGGCAACAGAGCAAGACTCTGTCTCAAAACAAACAAACAAAAAGGTATTAAAGAACGTTTTTCTCAACCATTAGGAAATAACTTTCCTATAAAGAATCAAAAATTGCCTTTCCAAATCTTCTCTGTTAACCTGAATCCTGGGCTGAGTATAAGAGTCATGACAGCCCACCTGCAACTGACATAAGTGGCTCAGTTTAATGGTCATCTTTCTGTCACTTTTGGCCCCTCCATGTTCACCCTGAGCATCTCTGTCTACCTGCAGCATTCATTTGAGAAGGCTTCCTGAGTTCTGGATGGTTTCATCTGGAACTGAAAACTATCTGTAGGGAGAAAAAAATATGATTAATTCTCCATGTTTGGATGAACTGAGGACATTTTAAATTCCTGACTACCTTTCCTCTGCAGTTTATAACACAAAATTAAGATGGTATTTTGTAAATTCCTTCACAACTGCTTGTGATTCAAATAGTAACTCTCTTCATTCCCAAACTTTCAAATGAGTTCTGTTTTTGAAAGATGCACTCAGTGTTTTCAAAATGAAGGAAAAATAAAGAATGTGTCCATCCTGGTTTGCTGGCTATTTCTAATAGTAGAAATCCCTGAATATGTATGGATCAGGTTCATGACCAGATCAAAATGAACTGTATAGGCTAAAACCAAGTGAAGAAAATTGTGATAGTACAAGATACCACACTTCCCTAGTCAGTGACCAAGAGAGCTTTCCAGCTTTACCTAACAGGCCTTTAAATAACCTTTTTATCCTACAGGTTTGACTCTTACTTTGAGGCTGCCTTCTAATAGATCACAACAGCAACTGTTAGAAATGATGTTGAGATGTTACCCACTGGAACTAACAGCATGGATGGTGGGATTGATAAGGAGTCTAAGAGAACTGTTCTAGAGAGGATTTGGGTTAAGTAAAAGGACTGGCTTTCTGATGATAATGATGTTAAGTCACAGCTAAGATAACAGAGGATACTGGCAGCCCTACTGCAGTACACAACTCCAAGAGGCACCATCATATCATAGCCTCTGTAATAGTACCCTCTGGAATCAGACAGTGCCTGCTATGTAATGGCTATGCACAAAGGCCTCAGGTCTGGGAAGCCTCCTCAGGGTTCTGCTGGGCTGAGAAGGTCTTGAGCCTTTTTCCTGTAGATGGACCAGGCTGTCTAATCCAAAGCAAAAAAACTGTCAAAAACAAAAAGTCACACAGGAAATATGAACAATAGCACAATTTCTTCATAATACTAGACTTTGGAAAGCACAAAAGGTGCAAAAGCCCATAGAGCTCATCAACCAATGACTAATTGCTCCAAGTCATTGGTCTACCTTCATAGTTGTGATGTTATAGCTAGAAGAGGAATTAGGATCATACACCAAATCCCTCATTTTAGCCCTTTGCCAGCAACTATCTATCATTTTCCACATACCATCACCCCACCCCCAGTACTCCTCTTTTATCAAAGTAGGGAGAGGATCTGGTTGGGTCTTGATAGCTATTGTCAGGTATGGAAGAAGGTATAATTATGGAACATGGGTGAAGCTGAAAGGAGGCAGCTTACATGCTTATGAAAGAAGAAACTTTCTGACAGCTGGAGGCAATGAGTTGTTCTGTATGGTAAGCTGACTGAAAAGGTTAAAACAAAGATGAATGAACTCATCTGGGATACAGTTTATCAGGCTGTGGTGAACATCTATTCGCTATTAAAACCTTCTTCAGGTATCTAACTCCTCCTTATCCCTCAAGACACAATTCTGACATGATCTACTTCAAAGGAGAGTCTTCACTGACGTATTTCCCTGGCTGAGTTAAGGGCCCCTTCTCATTTTCATTGCTTTTACCATGCCATACTAGAATTCTCTATCTCTCTGTCTCTAGTAACCCCCAAACAGATAGCTTCAGGAGTGCAAAGACCAAGGCTTATTCACATCATATTCCTTAGCATAGAATCTGATACACACAAGGACTCAATATGAGTTGAAAATATTTTTTCAGCTCTACTGAGCTGAAAAATAATAGTAATTACCAAAACGATAGCTAAAGCGTATTGAGCACTCACCATATGTCTAGCACTGTTCAGAGCATACTACATTAACTAATTTAATCCCCACAATGATCCAGTAAAATTGGTATTGTTATTATTAATTAATTAATTTTTTGAGAGAGAGTCTCACTCTGTCCCCCAGGCTAGAGTGCAGTGGTGCAATCTCGGCTCACTGCAACCTCCATCTCCCAGGTTCAAGCGAATATCGTGCCTCAGTCTCCTGAGTAGCTGAGACTACAGGTGCACACAAGCACACTGGGCTATTTTATATTTTTAGTAGAGGTGGAGTTTCACCATGTTGGCTAGGCTGCTCTTGAACTCCTGACCTCAAGCGATCCACCTGCCTCAGCCTCTCAAAATGCTAGGATTACAGGCATGAGCCACCACACCGAGCCCATGAACTTGATATTATTACTGTCCCCAATTGATTGAGGTTAAGTAAGTTGCCCAAGATTGCCAACCAAAACAAATATGATCTCTAATGTTGCTTTTAATTCTGAGATTACATTTTTTTTAATCTCTAGTACTTCAGGAATAAATAAGTGATTCTTTCTATCTACTTTTCTCCCTTAATCTGGTTTCAACTTTTTGATGAAGAACTCCACATACATGAATACCAATATATCCTCTTTTTGCCTCCTGGGTTTACCTTGGGGAGAAGGCAGCTGCAATTTGTCTGTGATCACTTGTGTTAGCACTGAGCCAGCACCTCTGTATGTACAGAATCCAGAGGTCCCCTTGGAACTCTTAGTAGAACAAACTGCAAAACGATGAAAAGGGACAAAGTCTCCTCCATGGCAGCTCCCACAGCGGCAGGCCAAGTCTTGGAGAAAGCAGGCACATTCAAGGTGCAGAGCTATCTGTTGTTCCTTGGGCCAGAGCTCCCAAGCAGCTTCCCGTAGTAGAGGCACTCCAAATTCCAACACCTCAGTTTGAGGTAGGGATAATTCTTCTTGTAGTGCGAGAAGAGAGGCTGAATCACCACCTGAAATTTAGGAAAATCTAAGTGAGATTTTCCCTTATAAACTTTTTGAGCTTCAATATGGCAAACTCCCAAGCACATGGCTGCTAGGGTAGAAGAAAATTCTATTTGTAAATTTAGGGTGATATTACTGCCTCCTTTGTATACAAATGTTTGCATTATTCTGAGATTGATATTGACCATGTCTAGTATAAAGTATAACAGAGGAGAAATGATCAACGGTACAAAAATATACCACTGATTTAATAATAGTTTCTCCCAAATTGAGATTTTACTTCAAATTATTATAAATGTTAAATCATAGGGAATGCTCTGTTCAAATACAGGGTCCAAACATATTTCAAAGTCAAAGGAAAATTATATGTGCTTTGGATAGTCCATGCTACAATTTTATTTTTTCAGGTGGAAAGTTCAAGACATGAGTCTGTTTCAATACCACATATGTTTGTCTTCCTTGTGAGTTTCTGAAATTGGGGATGGTTTATCCTTTTATCTCATGCTTTGCACCTAGAATCCAATAAAAGATTATGTCAATATTTTCTGAACAAAAATCAAAACAAAATACTAACACCTGGGTTAACAAAGAGCTAGAATTTCTGAAATGAAGACAAGCCTGAAAAATACAGCATATAAATTTTTCACTATATCCATGTCTCCATGGTTTAAATGATAATTTTCTCTTTGTTTCTTAGTCATAGGCTTTGAGAGAGATGCCCTCAAACGGGGTGATGGTATGCACCTGTTGAGCCCAAGAATTACAACCTGGGCAACACAACAAAACACCATCTTTAAACAAACAAATTAGAGAACCCCTTGATATACGCTATTGATGGTCTTTCTGAACACAGATACCCCCATAGGGACTCTTTGTTCAGATCTGAGAAAAAGGGAACAGCCCTTCCTTACCTAACTTTGTCTTCTCTTTGGTTTGATCAGTAATGTTGATAGAGGAAGGCACTAATATGGGCTCATTCGGAGGCTCTTGGCTCCTCTCAGACCAGCAGAGCACATGTATATCCACAAGAGCTCTCAACACCTGAAGTAGCTTATTTTTATCCCAGCCAGGCAGGAGGTGCTGCAACAGATCTGTATGGAAGGAGTGACCAATGATGGCAGCACATTTGACCAGCAGCTGTTCCTCTGGGCTCAGTTGATCGAGTTGGCTTACTGCTATTTCTGCCAAAATTAATCAGTCAATCAGCAATGAACAAGATTTCCACAAATCTAGAATACATCATGTTGAAAATCTGTGCCTTTTAAAAAAAGGTATGCTTTTCACCTACCCCTCTCTAATGCCCCCACCTCAATCTGCCCTTCTCCACTTAGTCAAACTTCTTGCAAGAGCCTTATAGCTATGTCTTCATTTTCCATTCATTGCTCTACCAACAACAGTTAGGTTTTTACTACACTACTAAAGCTGTTCTCCCATGGTCACCAAAAGCTTTTTTCAGTAGACCGAAAACTCATCACTCAGCTACAGTAATGCTTCCCATTTGCTTGACCTATTAGTATCCAGAACATTTTCTTCTTATTTTCAACTAAACATGTAGGTCAGGCTTCCTGTCTCAGATCTCTGATAACTATAAAGACCTTAACTTCAAGCCATTCAATATATCTCTCTACATTGTAACATAAATAATAGTATTAAATTAGTATTCACCAAGCCCCAAACGTTAAGATAATTCTAACTTTTTTCCTTTCTGTCACAACCTAATGGTTACTCATCATCATCTTTCTTTTGAGAATGTTTTTTCCTAAACAATGTTAGTACAAATACTCTTTTTCATCTGGATCATTACAATACCCTGTTTTGTACATCTCTAATTTCCTCCCATTCTTATTCCAATAATATATTAACTGGTAGCAGAATTATATATCTAAGATACAAATATAATCATGCTAGTCCCCTTCTTAAGCACTTTTACAACTTATATATGGGCTTTCACAATATAGCTTTGGCCTTTTATCTTGACCAAGGGTTTTTGAGCTATTCATTTTAGTTTGTGAATTAACAAGCCCTTTTTCCTTACCTGAAAATGTTTACCTTGGGTTAATTTTCTAGCTGTTTCCTAGGAACACTTAGAATATCAGCTGTGTTACCAGGTAACATTGCTTATGCTAAGGATAACCTCTAATTGGGAAACTGAATTTGGACTGGGAAAACTGAATTAACTTGTGGTAAGCCACGGATTTGGGTTTCCTTGGGTATAGTAATTCTTGTAATAGGCCATGCCCCTTGCAGAGCCTGAAAGTGATGCCTGTTTGGACCATTATAGGAGACGAAGCCTTTAGTTGGTCCTCTAAGCACCCATGAGTCATGGTTTCATTCACCATAGCTGAGCTATTACTTGAGGCTCCAGAGATTAGCCCCTGGAATGCTAGGTAAACTGCTGTGAAAACTTTCACTGAAGAAAAGTACCTTCTGCTGTCCTGTTAGCATGCTGTATTTCCTTCTAAGTAAGGAAAGCCATTGCCAAGTATGGTCTATCATAGTTGTATCATTGTAAACTGTCTCTGTTGAACCTAAAACCTCCAGAGTAAAGAGCTTATAATGTAATAGCTAACAGTCATGGAATATTTATTATGTGTCATAATTTATTTCATTTAATCCTCAACTAGCCCCATGAGGTAGGAACTATTATTATCTTCATTTGACTGATGAGTGAGAAGTTGACTAACTTATTCAAAGTTCCATAGCCAGTAAGTGCAGGAGCCCATGGTGCCCCGGGTTTTCTGACTCTAGAGCTCTGGCCCTTACCTACCATGGTGTCCTGTACTGCTGTTTCATGTCTGTGTCTTATTTTCTCAACAAGACCATACTATACTTGAAGGTATGCTTGTTCATCACAATACTCCTCAAGTATTAGTACCTTGCCCACCAGACACTTGAATAAAATATGAAAATAAGAAACAATTCATTTCTAAAAAGAACATCCCCTCTCCAACTATGCCTACCCGATTCTGATGGCTTCTTTATTCTTTATGGCATCAGTCATTCTACTTTGCACTCTTTTTTTTATTAAACTCTTGCTATGTGCATAACGTTGTATCTTCACTAACACCATGGATTTTCTTAAATCTCAGCAACATTATCTTATTTGCTTACTGTCTACTCTGAAAAAAGCATATGTACAAAGGGAAACTCAGGACCTATTTTTTATTAAATAATTGGAAAACTTTTCCAGGTTATCAGTCAGTCCCAAAGAGAACAATGAGCTCACTTAAGTAAAAGCTTCCTCAAGTAACATTACAAGTCTTCAAAGAGCTCTTCAGTCAATGCCAGAACTTATTTCTAGAAGGTAGATTTCTTTATCAGAAGAAATGAAGCCAGGATGATAATCAGAGACCTATACTCAACCACCCACCAAATTACAAATTGCAATGATATCTGTAATTGGTTCACTTGAGGTCTTCAAGGGACTTACCTTTCAAAAAGGGTGGGAGAAGCACTGTATCCAAGTTCACATCATCCTTGACTGTGCAGACATAAAGTTCCTGACCTTCTTCAGAGTTGGCAGGATAAATACTATACATTGTGGATTTCATGGCAACGGCTATAAAGAAAGAAGGCTATGACTGAGGAAAGCACCATTCTCAGAGACTGTAGTTTTAAAGATGCAAAATATAATGATTTAGTAAAAAAAAAAAAAAAAAAAAAAACCTAAAGGATGAAGATGACTGGAATTGTACTGTGGTTTAAAGTGTTTTACCCCACCTGTCTACCTGTTCTCTAATTTTCTCTTATAAACTAACAACATTCCCTGTACCATTTGGTATCTTACAACTAATCACTATTCCTGTTCACCTTATAACAGCTTTTGCTTCTATTACATCACAGCTCTGGGATGCCTTTCTGCTTTTATACATACTTCTACTCTTTATTCCTCTTCTACTCTCATCCCTTCTTCCATCCCCCACCCAAATCCTCAAGTCATTCTTCTCTTCAATAGTGGACAATTCTTTACTCTGGACTTTCCCAGCCCCACCTTCTGGGCTGCTTATAAAAGGAACTACTGTAGATTTACTGGATTAAGTTATCCGAGGCAAGTCTTGAGTGTTTTCACCCTAGTTGTATAATATTTGCATTGTGTGCTTATCTTGTAAGGCCTAGTGTGGCCTATAATGTTAGCAAAGAAAAAGTATGTACCTTGTAAAGGCCAAGTGATGTCATGTTGGAGAATGAACTTCAGCAGCTGGACCAGGGTAGAACTCTGGGAAATTAAGCTTACCTGAGAGATTTTCCCACTTGCTGTTTTCCTCTTCCTCCTTTTGTAGGTCATGAAAGAGCAATATGTCCTTACAGAGAAGGTCTTGGCATAGGACCTCACAATAAAGGGGGTTTCCAAAGCACCTCTGAAGGTAGCTGCGGGGAGGTAAGGGATTTCACATTACAGATGATCACTTTAGCGGAGCCAAACATAACAGTACTTCATACTGAGGAATCTTCTTTTGTTAAAGTCAGCTCTTCATGACAAACACTAACAGAGTGGGGCAGAGGCACAGACATGTAAAAAAGTAATTTCTTATTGGCCTTGAAATGCATCTTGGCAATAACTTTTCTTTCTCAACTATTTTGCTTTTATTGATGTTGAAAGAAACAAACATCTCCTTGCTAAAGGGTCTGGCAGAAAGTGGCCTGATCACATATAACTGACACATGAAGCAAGCCACCCAAGTCCTAATTGTCTTGTGAAAACCTAGGTGGAGAGCCCAGGGAGGCAGCCCCTTACTTGATTACAAGAAGACTGTTTCCCTTAAATCTAGCCTTGGGGCCTCATCATGGTTACTAATACCATTCTCTCCCCCAATTCCAGGAAGACCTGTGCCTTCTCACTTATACTATGGCACTGGCTCCTCCCTTAATGAAGTGCTCAGCTAGTCCTAGCCACTCACATCTACAGCTCTTGGGGGATGCTCACCACCCCTAGTTCCCAACATGCCATTCTCAACAGTGAGGTTGTTGCCAATTTCGAAATAGGCATAAGGACAGCCTGAAGGCTCTGAAGGAAATGCTGGGCCCAGCCACACAGGGTGAAGATAGGGGTCAATGCCATCACCATGATGATGGGCATACTGGAGAGCAATGTTTTCAAAAATTCCCAGGAAGCGGCATCCATATACTGGGCCTCATCAATGAGGAAAATCAATGGTGTTTCCCTCACTGCCTGGAAAGAACAGCAAAGAAACAATAACGACCTCTGATCAGAAATAAAGTCACCTGGTTTTCAAATCTACTGTGAATTTCCCATCAATAATTTAAATAAAATGTTAACACATGTTAGAGTTTTCAGAGCAAAATGTACTAAGTCCAGGTTAATATTTTACTTTATAAATATAAAATTGAATCCCTAAAAAAAGGACTAGGTTTCTGTAGACAAGAAAATTCTCTAACTGAAACATGAAATAAGCATCAAAATATTCTCCAAATCAAACCTGAAGCTTTCAAATATTTCATTTTGGCAAAAGCTTCATCTTGTGTGGGAACTCATAATACATTAAAACAGCAATTTCCAAACCAGGCTATGCATCAGAATTACCTGGGAGTATTTGGCAGCACTACCAATTACCAAGCCACACTCAAACAGACTTAAAAAAACTACTGCCTCAAGTGGCCATTCTAATGTGTTTATTGCATAGTTGTTTCTATGGTGTTCTTACAAAATGTCCATTGTTGTTTTGTCAAGTACATTGTTTTTAAGTAACTGCAACTGTATTACAGATCCCATTATTTCTCTCTTTCTAACCAGGACTGTTTTTAAGTTCATATGGCTATGTTTTCATACATTCCCCTATTTCTAAATTCTGCATTTTGTTCCATCATATTCATGCATGCATTCATGCTGATACCTCCCTGGCCTCCACAAACACTGTTAAAAATGTACTTGTTGGGATATATAGCCAGGAGTTGAATTGCTGGGTCTAGAGATACATGTTATTAAAATTTGACTACTTTTAGATTGCTTTCCAGAATGATTACATCAGTTTCTGCTCATACAGATTTTTGATTCCATAATCCTAGGGTAGAACCTGAGTATCTGCATTTTTAATGAATTGTAGGTAAAACAGCTATACAACTGCATTTAGAAACAACTATTTTAAATTAAACTACTAAAATTTTATTTAGAAACAGGGATCTGAAAAGAGCAAAGATCTTTTCTTGTATGCCATGCTGTGTTACAGGGTAAATCCAAGCTTAAAAGTAGATAAATAACAATGAAGATATCAACAGACAGGCAGGCCAAGAAATGCCTGAATCAAAGTGCAATGTGGACAGATTAAAATAAACATATACAATCTCCACATATTAAGAGTTAATGATCTGTAGTGAAAGTACCCACCTCCTGAAGTACTTTAATAAAACACGCTTTAACCTTCTTTTGTCTGGCCACATCATCCATGTGTGAAACTTTGAAGGACAAAGGAAACTGATCAGGAAAATTATTATATGTTAGCGTTTAAAATGAAAACCTAATAAAAACATGCAGGTTCTCCAAAGGGAACACCAAACAATTCTATTTGGGCTGAGAATGGGTTTCTGCAAGATTGAGCACAGAGTTACAAGGGCCAATCTAACATTAATATATAGTTCAAAAGGTGAGACAGAAAGTTCATGAAGGGTTAGAGACAGGTATCTATCTCCTTTCCATACCAGACTCTAGAAAAACCCTTAGAGGGTTATGACTAAGGAGTAAATGACAGGTTGAACTTAGCAATGACATTTTGGGCAGCTCCAGTACTTTAGTTATTCGAAGTATACCAGGATGAATCTGTACATGAGACTTGCCAGAACAAGATGCAATAGACATCACCTAACATTGTTTCCTATGCTAGGTTGGGGCATGCGAACTATGAGGGACCTGAGAGCCAAAGTGAGATGACTGCTAATCTATGTAGGCAAGAGTTTAGAGTCCCAAGCAAGGCCTACCTTAAGAGAGGGATATGTTGAAGGATTAGACAGATCTTAGTGTCTCTATTTTCTATTCCATAATACTCTGCAGGGTGGGTAGATTAGAAGTGACAGAGGATAAATAAAACAAATTGTGCACCAGTGAATTTTTAGTTTGCTTACTGCTGGATATCCCATACACCCTAGACCTCTGAAGGCTTTTGAGATACAGATGCTGGTTTCAAATGATATATTCTGCAGTAAGGGAACAGGAAGGTATGTTTAAAATATAAAAGAAATTGTAACCAACTCAAGAACACATGGATATAATTCCTGGGGATATGCCACTGGTGATGGTCACCTTAAATGTATTTAGCACTTTAAAATATACAATGCAATCTCTTTGTATACCATCTCCTTTAAATTTCACATTAAAACATATAGAGTACTATAATTGTTATTTCACAGATGAAAAAACTGTGACTCAGAGAGGCTAAGTGATTTGCTCCAGGACATACAACTAGCAAGTGTCAGGTTCAATACTAGAATTCATTCTCCTCAAAAGGAGAAAGCCTGAGTTTTGGTGTTGAAGGAATTTCAAATCTTGGTCCCACCATATACATATATGTACATCCTCAGATTATTAGATTAGAAGACAATCCTAAGTCTGAATATCCACAAAATATAACAGTAATCTAATTCAGAAAGCCACCGCCTTCATTACCTTCACAAATAAGAGGTCATTAAAAAGGCAGTGAAGTTGTTCTTCCATTATCCTATGAAGCTGTCTTTGTAGGTACTCTTGCCGGTAATAGGCTGGGCACATATCAATCTCAAAGAAGATGGCCATGAGGGTCTGGATGGCATAGAAGCACTGCTTGGAACCTGCTTCCTTCAGCATCAATGGCAACACCCTGGTGAATATTACTATGGTCATCAAGAGTCCCATGTACCACACATAGGTTACTCGCTTCACCAGTCCAAGAATGCTGAATCTAATGACACAAGAGTCTCAGTAACAAGGGAAAGAAGCCCCAAGAGAAGTAGGCTCTGACTAAGTCAGAAAGCAGGAGTCTTTACCTATGCCCTTCCTTCTGGGCCAGGAAGTTTATTTCAGCCAACAGCTGGCTTTTTCCATAGCCGTTTCCACTTTCATACAGAACTGCTTGTCCCTTCTTCTGATGCAAACACTTTTGCTGGGCCACTTGGAAGGCTTCCAATTCTTTCTCCCGGTCTGTAGAGAGACAGGGAGCACCTAACACTCCTGTGCTTCTTAGTAGATATTCTATTGATTTGAATCAGTTTGCAAAGCTAACTCTCAGAATGGCCTTTTTCCTCCAGAATTGTTTTAAGAATCTCATTCATTGATGGGACTTCATATCTCTTTCCAGAAAATCAATTCTGAGCTAACATAGGCTGATCTTGAGGGCTTATTCCAGAGCATATGTAGTAATATTCAGAAAAATTAGGCACTTTGTGGACACGAGTGCCTCTTATGTTTTTTGTAAAAATTTTCTTAAAATCAATTTAGTCTTCAAAATCTGTTACAACTATGTAAAAATAATGGACTAATAAGTATAGACTAAAATAAACATAAAGATAGGGAATATACAGTGTGGGTGATCACAGTCTTGGTGCTATTTTCACTATTCTAAGGATGAGGAATTTTTCTCTAAAGATGACCCACAATAAGCTGGTCTGATCTCAATAGCTGAGCTATGACTTAACAAAGATTATTACTAAATGTTGGTGTTTCTCAGGAAGTTATAGGATTTCACCTGAAATTTGAATATTTGACATGAAAAAGAAATAATAAGTTCTCTTCAAAATTTCACTAAGAAGGTTGCTATTTTTTAATATAACTTAAAAGCATTTGGTCTTGCATTATTTTGTTTTTTAAATCACATTTAGCCATCTACAGCTGAAACAAATATGATTTAAGTTAAAAAAGAAAACGTACCCAACAAAGGGTGATTTTTGTTTCTCTTTCTTGCCAAATGTCTTTTTCCAAACATTCTGAGAAAAAGAACAAAGGGAAATGTATTTATTAAAAATAGATTAGGAACAGCTGTCTTCATAAGCAAAAACTTTCAGATAATTAAGGTGGTACAGAGTTCTGAATAAAAGGGTTTTTAAAATCTAAAAATCTGGCGGAAGAGGAAGTAAAGAGGAAACATTATTGATTGTTCCAGGCTCGGGGAAGTAAATGAACAGTGAAGTACACGAAGAAAAAAAGAACAAAGAAGATCTGGGTTAGTGACCTACTGCTATTCTCCTCCTGTTGGAGAGCAGGACATTCGCTGAAGAGCTAGCTAAGAGCTAAACATAAAACCTAAAGCTCTCAGACACTAAACCCACCTTTTGTGTGTCTTATTCCAGCATGTCATTACTAGCAGCATCTTTTCTTCTAATTTCATGTAATCAAAAACTTATTGTTCTGGAAGAGATGAGAGTAAACCTATCATACAATGATACTCACATGCATCTTCTGTGGCCAAGATATTCATATATGTTCCCTGGGTTGGAGATGTTTTTCATCGTTTTCTCTGGGAGTTTCTTGAAGTTGTAAGCAGGTAGCATGGATCTTAGATACGTTACCTCATCACAGGACACCAAACCTGGATAAGCAGTTATCATTCTGGATGCAAGACTCACTTTTGGGCCAATAATTGTGTCAGAAAGACAGTTGTAGAAATTTTGGACTATGTCTTCTACTTTCTTCCCTTAAGTCACAAAGCTAGCAGTCCAATGTCCTATTCTACCTGTATATTCATGTCTTGCTACTGCTCCAGACACACCACAGAATACTGGTCCATTGGTGATACTGATGGAAACAAGTCTAGGGATCAGAAAAGCAACAATGGGTAAATATACAGTTAGAAACCTCCAAGTCAGGCATTAAATCTGCCACTCCCCAGATCCAGAAGTCTAGTTTTACAGTTCAGAATGGAAAAGGCCAGAAGTTGCTATCAGTCTATATAACATGAGGGGTAAAAAGTACTGAATATTAGGGAGACAACAACAACAAAACAGAATGGTTCACCTAATTCAGGAGTTTTAGTTGGGGGTTATTATTAGTAAAAGATTTTCTTTTTCTTTTTCTTTCTTTTTTTTTTCTGAGACAGGGTCTTGCTTTATCACCCAGGCTGGCGTGCACTGGTGCAATCTCAGCTCACTGCAACCTCTGTTTCCCAGGCTGAAGCGATCCTCCCACCTCAGCCTCCCAAGTAGCTGAGACTACAGGCATACCACCACCACACAACTAATTTTTGTATTTTTTGGTAGAGATGGGGTTTCACTATGTTGTCCATCTCAAACTCCTGAGCTCAAGCAATATAGCCGTCTTGGCCTCCCACAGTGCTGGGATTACAGATGTGAGCCACCACATCCGGCCAGTAAAATTTTTAAAAATGTTACATCTGTGGTAAGGCAAATATTTAAATACCATTTGAAAAAAAAAATGAAGGCGTTAATTAACTTTCCCAGAGTTATATGGCAAAGGTGAACAGCGGAGTCAGAATGAGAATCCAGGCCTCTTGCCTCCTAGACCAATATTATTTCTACTATATCATGTTGCCTCAAATAACACCCCAAAATGAAAGTAGATCAAGAGATATCAATACAGAGTTAATGGATCAAATCATGTTAGAATGCACAGTTAAGGAATAATCAGAATGTCAGGACTGCAGATGGAAGGGTTTCTGAAGTAAATTAAGATTGGAACAAATTTTTTTAATGAGTGATATTTTAAAAATTCATTCATGCATACTTACATTCATTTCATTCACTAAGCACTGAGACGTGTGCATAGTACGGAGTACTTGGCTCGATGTTTAAAATATCCTGCCCTAGAGAAGTTAAGTCTAGGGAATATGGTGGTAGGTTTGAGGGAGGTGAAGAGATACTTATATATCGGCAAGACAAATACTCCATATTAGAGATAGATATAGCACATTAACAGAACAGATGTACTAATTCACACTGGAGAGTAGATAGAGTATTCAGAAAGGAGAGGACATTTGGTCAGACCTTGAAAGTCAAAGAAACTACAAAAGTGGGGCAATGATACTCTGGTGGGAAAAGACAAAGGCTTTGGGACGTCGGGTGTGGTCATGCAAAGCTAAGTACTTCAAGATGGTAGAGCACAGACATGAACAGAGGCGTTTGGAGTTGAGAGAGATAATGGGAGAAGTGGTCTTACCTGTCTAGGGATAGAAGAGTATTAGACATGAATTATTTTAAAAGAGGTCATGTACTGTTCTAGGGGAGGCAAAAGCCCAAAGGTGGCAAGGAGCAATTCATACATAACAGAATAAGTAGAATTTACTCACTGACATGAAGATTTCATGTGAAAGGTAACAAGATATATAGGCAGAGAAAGATTATGCAATGAGGTATAGTCTCACGTTAAATCTATAAACAATTTTCAGTAGTTCAGAGAGAATGTGAGAACTAGAAATCATGTTAACACTATTACCTCCTAAGCCATCAAAATTCTTTGCCCTCCTCAAAGGACAGGATTAAGGGCTCTTGACTGGGTGCTGTGGCTCATGCCTGTAATCCCAGCACTTTGGGAGGCGAAGGTGGGCAGATCACCTGAACTCAGGAGTTTGAGTCCAGCCTGGCCAACATGGTGAAACCCTGTCTCTACTAAAAATATAAAAATTAGCAGGCATGGTGGTACACACCTGTAATCCTGGCTGAGAGATTCTGAGGCAGGAGAATTGCTGGAACCCAGGAGGCAGAGGCTGCAGTGAGCTGAGATTGCGCCACTGCACGCCAGCCTGGGAGACAGAGTTAGACTCTGTCTCAAAAAAAGTGTCTCTTACTATTCATTCACTCAGCTCACTGACCCCAGGGGGAAAAAAAGAGACACTCAAGACAATACCATGCTGTCAGTTCTACTGTCATAGGAAGAGTAAGACTGAAAATCTTTTAATATTTCATGATGCTTCCTCTGCCTAAACACCCCTTCTCACCTTCTCCACTTGATGAACTACTTTTCTTCTCAACCTGGCTCAAAAGTCATATTTATAGTGAAGATTTCTTTGGTACCTCTAAGGAGAATTAACTATGTCTTCCCATAACACATTATTGTAACTCCTATAGCATTTTATTCCTGAACTTTAATTTCATTGTATTAAAGTTACTTGTTTACTTAGCTAAACTGGTAAAATCTTATTTCTCTTTATGTCCATAGCACCTAGCACAATGTGGCTCATAACTGTGTTCAAGGAAAGCTTGTTGAATGAATGCATTTATGTATGCCAGAAACTCAGCTATTAACAGGTCAATCATGAAACAAATAATACTTTTCCCACTTAGTTATTTCTTATTTCTTTCTATTATACTTTATAATTTCTCCTTGTTTTTCCTGGAAATCCATATTCCTTCTTTCCTTTAAGACCTTTCTGCACTGATAAAGAATGTATTCTTTATTTGATATATGTAATTTTATATAAAGTATTTCTGGTACTAAAAAACCATAATGATGATATTCTGAGACTTCACTCCCTACGTCTCAAAAATATCCTGAAGAAATACTCAGGGAATCATCTTTCCTCCAAATGAGCTAAAAGCTGAAGCTATTTCTCAGATTAGAAAGAGGAATTCAGAGGATGTCCCAAGGTGAACAGTGTCTTTGAAAAAGAAGACATGGAAAGTAGTTTTGTGTCTCAGTGAGAGCTGATGTGATACAGAGAGAAATGAGCAATGGTATCTGCTACTGAGGCTACGTAGGTAACTCTGAAGCTTTAGCATCTGGTCAGCATTTCCAAAAATATCTTCCTTAGAACATTAGTTTCTCTGGATATTTATAGATCATTCTGGAGAAGAGTGTTTGATGACCAAGGAAATTTGGGAAATGATGACTAAAACTAAATATAACATTTTTTCCCATAACACTACTCAGAACCTTTGATGTGTTAATGCTCATTTTGAACCTTGAAGAAGGAAATATTATTTGCATCACTTCCCAAACATATTTGGCCATGAAAATCTTTTCTTTTTTCATGAGCACATTAAGGGACTAACATTCTACCAAACACACTCTGGGAGATACTGAATTAGCAATTATCTTCAAGGAACAAAATCACCGATCTTGAAACCTAGCTTTGAGACTCTGACATCTGTTTGGTTTACTAGCATAACCTTTCTGGATCTTAGTTTCTTTAAATTAAAGTGGTCAGATTTGATGAATTCTAATACCCCATCTAGTTCTTAACATCTATTATATTCTAAACGAAATAAGACTGAAATGACCAAGTTATAGCCTAAAAGTGACAAAAGGCATTCTTAAGCACATTGTAAGACAGCCCCCAAAGGCCAAAGAAATGACTCTTTTAAGAGTAAGGGCCAAGGGTGGGACTCTTGAAGGCCACAGGTCAATACAAACTTCAAGGACAGAACAGACCAGCACTGGAAGGAATGGCCCATGTGATGGCTAATACTAAGTGTCAGCTTGATTGGATTGAAGGATTCAAAGTATTAATCCTGCCTGTGTCTGTGAGGGTGTTGCCAAAGAGATTAACATTTGAGTCAGTGGGCTGGGGAAGGCAGATCCACCCTTAATCTGGTGGACACAATCTAATCAGCTGCCAGCAAATAAAGCAGGCAGAAAAACATGAAATGAGCGATACGGGCCTAGCCTTCCAGCCTACATCTTTCTCTAGTGCTGAATGTTTCCTTCCCTCAAACATTAAACTCCAAATTCTTCAGTTTTGGGCCTCGGACTGGCTCTCCTTGCTCCTCAGCTTGCAGACAACCTATTGTGGGACCTTGTGACTGTGCAAGTTAATACTTAATAAACTCCCATTTATATATATATATATATATATATATATATATGTTCCATCCCTTTAAGAGAACCCTGACTAATACCACCCAACATGTCCACGCTGGAGATAAGACTGGGAGGTAGGTTGTAGGAGTATCTTCAGATCCCACCAAACCTGAAAGAAGTGTTAACATGTATTTGCCTTGGGCAAAGAGTCTGAGTATCTATTAAGCAATTGTAGCATCTTTCTTATCTCTAAAATAAGGCTTGGATAAGAAAATCTTTAAATTCCTTGCCAGTACTAACATTCTATAAGTGTGTATCTATAATTATATCACATTAAGAGCATATTTGATTCTTTTGGGGAGCATTTGCATTTTACAAGAGGCAGCGGGGGGGGGGATAAGTAATGAAACAACACAGGATTTGAAGACTGAGATCTGGGTTTCATTACCAGTTCTGCTATATGCTAGTAACTTCTCTTCTGTGACCTTAATTTCCTCATGTATAAGAGGAGGTAGGCATGATGGCTCACACCAATAATCCCAGCACTTTGGGAGGCCAAGGTGGGATGATCATTTGAGTTCAGGAGTTCGAAACCAGCCTGGGCAACATAGCAAGACCTCATCTCTACTAAAGATAAAAAAAAATTAGCCCAGTGTGGGGCATGTGCCTATAGTCCCAGCTACTTGAAAGGATGAGGTTGAGGATGCAGTGAGCTGTGATTGTGACATCGAACTTCAGCCTGGGAACAAAGCGAGACCCTGTCTCTAAAAAAAAGTAAAAAACAAAGAGGGATACAAATTTTCACATTGGTAGCATACGATAAAGTATTCTATAAATGTTAAAGCTCTAAGTACATGTAAGATATAATTTTTATCCATTTTGAATAAGTTATAACAAGCAAATCAATCTGATTCACTGTTAACATTGGAAGCAACTATTTTTAAAATTCATTCACGTATACACTTTCTCCACAGCTTTCTATTTTAAAAAGTCACTTGAAACTTCCAACCAACTTTATCATAATGCAACTAGTGGGAAAACAGATTTTTCTATACCTTCATCTGGGTTTGGTGAACGGTGGTTGGGTGAGGAGTGGATGTGGAAGAGGGAGATCAGTTCAGTGTAAGGTTGAGAAAAAGCAATAGGATCTGGGAAAGACCCAGAATGAAAGCAAAGAGAACACTAACCAGCTATGGTTCCTTTCTATCTAGGTAATGTCTCCACAACTTCTCTCATTCTCCGTCTTGTAGACAGGCAGCCTTTATTCTGCATTCTCTCCACAGGCATGTTATTTGCATTATATTAATTTAAACATTTGCTTGTTCCTTTGCAGTGTTCTCAAATCTTGGTATGTTTGTTCTGTTTCTCCCCTTTTCCTGATCCGCTGAATGGAAATGTATCTTTATTTACCCTGGGTATCCAGTACAGAGATCTGTATCTAGTGATTTCTTAATAGATCTTGTTTGCTCACTTTCCTTAGCATGTTCCCTCCCCGTTAGGCAGATTCTGGACTACTTGAATCCTGCGACTTGTTACTGCCTCCTACCCTGCCTGAAGAGCCCCCTGCGGCCTGAGAAGCTCCTCTCTGCCCCACCTTCCTCCTCACTTGGTCTCAGCAAGATTCTCCCAGCAGAAGCTGAAGATGCTGAAGGAGTTCTCCAGGGCATGTGCACACTCATCTGGCTTCTTATCACCAGGAAGGCCGAAAACACAGAGGAACATGCAGCCCTGGGATAGATGATAAACAAAGAAATGAGACGTTTACCTAGGGAAGGAATATGACTTGCTTGAACTAAGCCAGCTCCCCAGAACGAACCCAGACCCTATCCTTGAACATTCTTCTGTTGGAAATAAAGGATTCTGCATGATTCATAAAATGGAAACACTGGGCCACAACATAGACATTTTTATAAATCTTGATTTAACTAACTATTCAAGGAACTGAAATTTAAAACACAAGAAAAACTGCTATCAAGAACTTTTCAAAAATTTAATTTCTAGTATATACCTTAAGTCTACCTGCTCACATTTTCTTCACTTATAATGTCAAGTATTAAGATTCTGCTTTTTTCCAGGATCCTTAATTATCTGAGAAAGACTTGATTACATTTACTTTACTAATAGAACTAGAAAAACATTCTTTATGCTTTCACAAGGATTCTTCAACAAGAATTCAATAAAAAATGACATGGAGAGTAACCTTCAGTAAGGCTGAAAATTAAATTAACAAGAACATCCCATTCCTTAATTAACATTAGTTGAAGTTTTAATGTAATATAGCTTGTTACAAAATAAGTAGCAGAAAATTTGACTTAGACTTGTGTTATGTGGGAGATCAACTGGTCATAAAAAACCATTACTCCTCACTCACCTTTCATGCTGATGGGTCGAGTTTCCTTGTACTTACTTTCTCAAGCAGAAAGATCCGACTTGGCTGACCACCCCCTTTCTCAATGACTGTGGAGATGTATAAGGCAGCCTCCTGGATAAGATGACACAAATGTAACATCCACGCTGTCTTGCAGAACTCTAGGCTGACCAAAACCAGAGTCACCGTATGGAATTCAGATACATACCCTACAGGTGGACTTCATCGATCTGTAAAGACATATTGAGTTACCTTGCCTATATTTTCAACTATCAGTATCATGTTCAGGCATTTTAATTTTGTATTTCATGGTATGTATAAGAAAATAACTTATGGGTCTCAGTCAAAACTTAAAACAAATTCAGTATAGAAGATATACAAACCAATGCACTTGGATTAGAACTGTTTGTTGACTTTAGGCAGAATTCACCGATAAAATCTATCAAGATTTACTCTCTAAGAGTTAATTTGACACATCCATTAGTCATTACATCTCTTACTAAGAAATTCACATATATTCATATACAGTCAACTTACATTTACTAAACATACACTCTCTACCCTGCTTACAGTATACTAAATTGTTGAAGAACAAACTAAAAAGCAAATATGGCTTCTACTTTCTAGGATTGAGAAATCTTGCTAAAGGTTTAAGACATGTTCACCATAGTATTATATTGGCACAGATGGGTAAATCTGCTGGAATTACAATGGGGAGCAGGAGATGAACTGAATAAATACAAAAAACTTGTCACTTATAGTAGTACACCTGTTTGCATGCACACGTGCACACACACAAACACAGAGAGAGGGAGAAAGAGAGACTACACAAAGATTCAAGAACTAGAAAATAACCTTTTTCAAAAGGTTTTTCATTATGTGCTTCCGCAGTGTTTGGTCAAGTTCAGAGTGTGGATCCAATTCCAGTGCAGTTCTTAGAGTCTCTGAGACAAGAAAAACAAAATGTCCCTGGCCATGTGGAGAATGAATGTTTACAATTTTGGGTTTAGGTAGAAAGGACAAAGTAACTTACCAGCACTTGTACGGTAACGTCGCAGATAATTGAGGCACTTGTCAAAATGCTCATCGAAATCAAATGGGTCAATGATCCGCATATCTCTTAACTACAGAAAGGAAATGGCTTAATTCTGAGGATTCTACTACTGTTATTTGCCTTTTATCTCCCCAGCCTCACTGTTCTACTTCATCTATCTTCATAGGAGAATATTCCCAACCTCCCTCCTAAATTGAGTTCCAGTGGTTGTTGGTTTGGTCAGTCAATATCTGAACACTGCCAGATCACTGCCCTGTGTAGTAGGAAGGCATTTTCAGTATGTGAATAGATGAGGCTTGCCTCCTAACTTCACAGCTTCATCCTCCCTCATGACTTCCACTTCAAACATATGCTGCTCGCAGAGCATCCAGCAGTTCCAGGACAAGACAATCTCATTTGCCTGAGCCAAATGCTGAGCTAACTGGACATCGTCTACATCCCGCCCAATCACCAAGAGGTATTGCTGCCGCTCATCTCCAACAATAACCTGGGAAATCCGACCTGCAGACAGACCTATCCAGAAAAAATGAGATAAATGGAGAAGAGCCAAACTCAGTTGGGAAACTATGCAACAGGAAGGATATGGAATCCCCACATGGCTCTATGTATCATGCCAATCTTGTTATTGCCCTCAGCTGCAGAAGTCTTAGGTGAGCTAACCTTTAAAAATAATACCTTCCAGCTGGGTGCAGAGGCTCACGCCTGTAATCCCAACACTTTGGGAGGCTGAGGCAGGTAGATCACGAGGTCAGGAGTTTGAGACTAGTCTGACCAATGTCGTGAAACCCCGCCTCTACAAAAATACCAAAAAAAAAAAAAAAAAAAAAATTAGCTGGACATGGTGGTGGGTGTCTGTAATCCCAGTTACTAAGGAGGTTGAGGCAGGAGAATCACTTGAACTTCGGAGTTGGAGGTTGCAGTGAGCTGAGAACACGCCACTGCATGCCAGCCTGGGCTACAGAGCGAGACTCTGTCTCAGGGAGTGGGGTAGCTTCCACCATATTTCCTTCTTTTATATAGTACACCTGGAGATGGACATTTTGTCTGTCTGGAGATGGAGGAGGGGAGTAGTGGAAGAAAGGGTGTACATAGGGTCACAAGGAGACTTTTTGAGTGACAAATATGTTCACTATCTTTATTGTGGTGATGGTTTCAAAAGTGTATAAATATGCCAATGTATAGTATCAATTATCCTTAATAAAACAAAAACCAAAAGAGACAAAAAAGATGGTAGGACAAAAGAGATACCATATAACATAGAATATAATTCTTTACCACTGCTCCTCAAAACATAATTTCTGGAGCCAACTTTTGCCCTTAAAAGACGTTTCTGAACACTTGTGAAGGAGCTTTGTGTATTGTGTTTCCCCTCCAATCCTGACTCTGCCATTGGTGAAACTTTGGCCTCTGTATGCAGCTTTTAAATTTTTATTATATTGTATCATATTTTTGATTATGTCAAGCAATAACATAGTTCAAAAAGTAAACTATATTAAAGTATATTTTAAAATCTGGCTTCTACCTACATGCACATCTTTACTATTTTCCTGATATTAGTAATTTATTAGTTTTTTATATATTTTTCCACTGTTTCTTTATACAGATATAAACAAATTTTAAAAATTCTTATTTTTCCTCCATACACAAATGATAGAATACTAAACATGCTGTTTTGCATCTTACTTTTTTCACTTACTATATTTTGGAGATACTGCCATATCAAGACATCTTATTTTTTAAAAGTTGCAGATAATCTTATTGAGTATACATATTTTTTACTTAACCAGTTTCCTACAGATAAATTGTTTTCAATTTTTTAAAAATTACAAACCATATTACAATCAATAACCTTGCGCATGCAAGATTTCAGATGTGTGCAAGTATACCTATAGGATAAATGTCCATGATTGCCAGGTTAAGGAATAATGCATTTGTAAGAGTGTAAGGGTGGTATGTAAGTGAAAACAAGACTTTTTAATATATATATAATTTTTTGTTGACATAAACAATAATAAAAATAAAAATAAATACAATAAAGATTGCCAAATCACCCTTATACCATTGTTCACTCACAGTATGAAAAAGCTCATTCCTCACAGACTCACCTAAGAGTATGTTGTCCAGCATCTGAAGTTTTGCCTATCTATAGGTAAACGACAGGTAGTCAATGTACTTCCAATTGGCATTTTTCTTATTATGAATGTTGATCATCTTTTCACATGCTAAAAGACATGCATTTCCTTGTCTATATATAATTTACTCATGTCCTTTGTCCATTTTTCTCTTACACAGTATTATTCTTTTCTTAATTTCTAGGTGCTCTTTCCCTAGTAGCGCAATTTACCCTTTGTTTATATGAATTGCAAATATTTTTTTCCCGGTTTATCATTTATCTTTTGAGGTTTTTATAGTGAGTACTCCCCTCTGCCCCCCCCGCCAACTGGATCACTCTTTTAGGAGGTACTACCTATCTTTAACTGCAGGTCCTGGCCTTCTCTGGTATGATAGATCCCAAATTTCTCCTGTATCTCCAGACTGCATTTTGCCACCAAGGTAATGATGTCACTCAGCTGGTTTTGTTCCACTCTCCAGAGTGCCAGAAGCATGTTCCCTGCAGAGACACAGGATCAGTTGATGGGGACCAAATATCTAGACATACTTGGTCCAGGGTAAAGTCCCCAATAATGCAGAAGATCAGCGTGACCCAGTGTGGGTATCATGTAAGTTATCAGGCAAGGTTTCTTTGCTGTATACATTATGTTAGGTTAAAATACTGCTTCAGATGCTCAAAATCATTCAGTACATAGGTAGAAGTTGAAATGACCCTAAGGATATTTTTGGTAATTTTCCTTCCACCAGTATACTAACAGGAGAGGAGAGGTACTAGCAAAAGGTTCATAAAAGGTGGGTTCAAGTTCCTATCTATTTTTTTTAATATATGTCCTTTAAACCAATGCAGTAAGTTCGTATCTAATTTTATGGCTGATTTTATTATGTTTAAATGAGAAAACAGGCCAACTATGGGGCACACAGCTGTTAGTGATCCTAAGTTCTCCAGATATGACATGCTTGACTCCTCCCCATCTCATGCTTAGCTTCTGCTATTAATGGCCAAGTTTCTCATTAGTTTTCTCAAGAACGTTTCATATATACATATTTTCCTGTCCTTCAATCTAAACAAAAATGTAAAGCATATGAGAGCTTAATTTGGGCAAATCTTTTCCATTAGACTAGAAAATCCTTTGAGGCATAGACTATGTCTTCCTCATCTTTGTATCCCCAGGGTCCAGTACTTATTAATCAAACAAGGCTGAATAAACAAATATGCCAAATTCCACCTAAACACAGTCTTCCTTGCTCACAGTCTTTTAAGTATTCAGAAAAACTGAAAAATACCTGTGATATTTAGGATATCCCCTCCAAAACAGAGTACATCTGAAATCAAGCAAGGAAGAGAGAGGAAATGAGTCAAAGTCAGATATAAATCAGATAATGGCAGAATTATATATGGTCAAAAGAATGGCCTACTGAGTTTATCCTCATGTCTTTCACTCCATTTGTTCACTCCAAGACTCTGGCTCCTTCTTCCTACTTTTCATTTTCTCCCCCAAATCTGTCTGCACCTACACACATCTTTTCTAAAATGGAAGTATTCCTGTTCTCTTCAAAGCCACCCCATTTTTTGATAGGAATCTTATCCCCTCTTACCTTCTCGAGAACTTCACACCACTCCTAGTCTCTCGACTGAAACATTCCCATCAATAGCTTAGAAAATGAAACCAAAACACACAAAAATAACCCACATATTCTTGGCTCTACCTTCCCTTCTGCCTATTAGCTCCATTTTTTTTCCTGCTACATTCACAACAAACAAACAGAACCCCCTAATCTCAAAAACGTTGGCAATATGTACTTTCCTCACCTCCCATTTACGCTTCCTTTTAAATGTTTTCTCTGACATTACTTTTCTCAGATTACTCCAATCTGACTTCCACCTCCATCACTTCAAATGATCAAGCGCATCAACAGCAATAATCTTGCTAAATTCAATACTTTTCTGACCTCACTGTACTTGACAGCTGTCATTTTCAACCCAGCTAGCTGCAGCTTTCTTCTAGAGACACTACCTCTCTTTTGGCTTCAGGAACATCACAATAGCTTACCTCACTGGCTGCTTTGCAGTCTCTTTTGCAGGTTCTTTCTCCCTCATCATAATCCTCCCCTGGAGTTCCTCAAGCCTCAGCCAAAGGCTCTTTCTCTTTATTTATGGTCTCCCAACATGAACTCAATTGGTTCTTAACTTTAAGTCCTACTTTATGCCATCAACTCAGTTTCATCTCTAACAGAGATCTTTCCTCTGAGCTCCAGGCTCAATCATAGCTGGATTCTCCACTTAAATGGAGTCATTCTTCACCTGAATGATTTATTGGCATCTCAAACTCAACATACTCAAAACAGAACTCTTGATTTTCTTTCTCAATGTTCAGTCTTTTCTGTCTTGGTAAACGACAATTCAATTATGAAAGCCAAAAAACTGAGTCCTTTTCTTACCACTTCCCACTGAAATTCAATCTATCAGCAACTCCTGTCTGTTGAACCTGTAAGATATATTTTAGGTTAATCTACCCGATGCAGCTCCACTGCCATACCTCTACACCAACAATCTCCAGTCTTGACTGCACATTGGAATTGCCTATGAAACTTTAAAATGTCTTATTCCTGGGCCAACCTAAAGAAATTCTGATTTAAATAGCCTGGGGTGAAGCTCGGGCATTAAGATTTTTAGTTAGGCAAGGTGGAACGATACTTGTAGTCCCAGCTATTTGAGAGGCTGAGGCAGAAGAACCTTTTAAGCTCAAGAGTTCAAGACAAACCTGAGCAACATACTGAGACCCCAGTCCCCCCACACCAAAAAAAAAAAAAGGCCAGGTGCGGTGGCACACCTGTAATCCTAGCACTTTGGGAGGCTGAGGCACGTGGATCACAAGGTCAGGAGTTCGAGACCAGCCTGATCAATGTGGTGAAAGCCCATCTCTACTAAAAATACAAAAATTAGTTGGGTGTGGTGGTGTCCACCTGTAATGCCAGCTACTTAGGAGGCTGAAGCAGGAATCGCTTGAACTTGGGAGGCGGAGATTGTGGTCAGCTGAGATCGCACCGCTGTACTCCAGCCTGCACAACAGAGTGAGACTTTGTCTCTAAATAAATGAATAAATATTAAAAAAATTTTTTTAAAGACAATTAAAAAGCTCCTCATGCAACCACAGCTGAAGTTGAGAACCACTGCTTTAGACCAAATCTCCATCCTCTCTAGAACAATTGCCTCTTCCAGCTTCTATTCTTATTATTCACTCTCCACTAGCATTCAATCTCCACAAGGTAGCCAAAATCAGCTTTAAAGTGTTAATCAGATCATATGACTCTCCTGCTAGAGCTTTCCACTGTTTTCATTTATACAGAAATATATAATTCCAACTCTTTACTATGGACTACAGAGCTTGGTGATCTCACAGATACCTTCTCCCAACCTTGCCTCAAACCACTCTTCATCCTGCCAGCTATGCTTTGGCTGCATTGGCTTTCTGTTAGTTCCTAGAGCATGCTGGGCTCTCTCCTGTCTCAGAACATTTGCACTTAGTAATCTGCCTGAAATGCTTTACCCCTTGCTCTTCACAAGCTATTCCCCCCATCCTTCATGTGTCAGCTTGAATAATACCTGCTCGGCCGGGCGCAGTGGCTCAAGCCTGTAATCCCAGCACTTTGGGAGGCTGAGGTGGGCAGATCACGAGGTCAAGAGATCGAGACCATCCTGGCCAACATGGTGAAACCCCGTCTGTACTAAAAATACAAAAGTTAGCTGGGCATGGTGGCGTGCGCCTGTAGTCCCAGCTACTCGGGAGGCTGAGGCAGGAGAACTGTTTAAACCCGGGAGGCAGAGGTTGCAGTGAGCCGAAATTGTGCCACTGCACTCCAGCCTGGCGCCTGGTGACAGAGTGAGACTGTGTCTCAAATAATAATAATAATACCTCCTCAGAGGAGCTTCCTATGACCACCCTGTCTCATACACTCCCCTACCCTAAAATTATTTTGTGGTTTCTTTTTACCACTATACTATGTTGTTTTCCTTAATAGAATGTATAAGCTACAATTAATGTATTTACTGTCTGTCCCACTAAAGTGGAAACTCCATGAGGGCAGATACTCTGTCTTACTTTCCCCTGTATTTTGAGTACGCAGCAGTTGCTGGTATTAGAGTACATACACCATATAGAATTTTTATCTTCCCCTTCATCCAAACCTGATGAGAAAAAGCAAAAGACCTTTCATATGTGTTCCTTAAGGATAAGGGGTGAGCCAGATAATGAAATTCTTAATGGAGATGCCACAAAGTGCTACAAAGTGGTCATTACTCTGGTGAATCTCAGAATGCTGGACAGAAGCATATAAGGCACTGTCAGTAAACGATGAGAATGTTACATAAGTACTAAAAGGCATAATAAGGTCGGAATAATTTCTGTTGGGTACGCCCGACTAAAAAGTTCAAGAGTGAGTTCTTGCCTCGCCTGCACCTATTACAGTGCTTATCACAGAGTAGGCACTTAAAACATGCGTACTGCACAGTTGAGTTTTTTTCCAGATATCGGACATTTGACAAATATCTAAAAGCTTAATACATGACAGAACATAAGAAAACACCTATTCTTTCCTCACTGGATCAAAATGTAATAATAGAATAAAAAGGTGTTTTATAAATTATGTCTATATACACGCTTGAGATACATTATTATGATACGAGACAACCTAAAGAATACTTTATTTTGAAATAAAATACAAATGTGCAAAGTAAATTAGCTCCCCCTCCCCGCCTTTGAACATTGAGTCAATAGAACGTGAAACTAGGTAGAATGGCAGATAATAGGCAAAGATCTAGCTTTTCAGTGGCAACTTGAAGAAACCAAAGATGAATGCTGCTAAAGGAATGACCTTTTAGTACCTGTTTTAAAGTACTTCTGGCCCCCTTCTTTTATAAATCCCCAGGAGCCCAGCACCACATCTTGTTACCCTACAATGCTCACTCACGCTCCACGATGTCACTAATGTAATAACTGAAGATGTAGGCCAGTTTGTCCACGTCACGTTCCGACTTGCAGGTCAGGCTGAACCTGTCCATTAATGCTGTAAACCCTGACCAACAAAGCAGAAGTCACCATGTTAACTGAAAATCCTCAACTCTTTGGCCCCCTTCTCCCCACACATCTGGCTAGTGTAAAGGAAACAGATCCCTTCAAGCTGAGTAATTCCTTTATCCATTAACCTGGTGTAACTTAGAAACTATTCATGGCCAGGCTGGTTGCCCGGGGCCACTGGGGAATCTAGGGGACCACCCTCTTTGCTTCCAGGAGCTGGAGATAGTGCCCTTTTCACCTAGAGCCAGCTCTTTCCTCCACTCTCTTAGGCTGCCTGGCTATGGGAAGCCATAGAACTCCTCCTCATGTCTGGCTAGAGAAAGACTGACAAGGGAAATGGATTTAAGCTTCATGTAGAACTCACACGGTGAAGACAGGTACCTGGTATTACCCATCTTCATATCCCTGACACAGAGTATTTGTTTAAATGAACGACTCTCAGAAGTGGCTGCTAGATCGCTACATCCTGGAACAACGGCAGGCACATGCTTATGGACGCCAAGAATGAATGAACGAATAAAATAATTGTCTGAAACAACACTTAATGGAAAATGCTCGGGGTTGAGAGAAACGGGTTCAATGCCTGCCACGTGGTCCTGTAAAAATCCTCTCCTCTCTCCGAGTTTCAATTTCATCATCTTTGAGGCGAACTCAAGGGCTAGGCTGGTTCATCCCAAAAGGTGTCCTCCCGCGCTAAAACGAAGACGCTCAAAGTTTCCTGCGGAAGCCGCGGCACGAAATTAAACTGTGCCTTAGCTCGCGAGAGGCCAGGCCTGTAACCGTCGCAGCTTAGGCCCAACAGCCGCCTCTCCGGCAGGCCAGGAGACTGAAGTGCCAGCTCTCGCCCTCACCCGTCACATGGACGCCTAGGAGGACGCCCTGGGCCGTGGCGACCTCAGCTTCCGATCCCCACGGTTTCTGAAAGACCAGAAGGTCGGGAAGCAGCCCCGCCCAGCGGGCCTCCACTGGCCACAGAGGCGGTGCCGCCTCCAGCTCGCCGGTCAGTACGCTTGCCTGCCTAGGAACCGGAAACAGGGTCTAGCCGTGTAAGCAGCCAATCCGCACCGCAGGCTCTGCTGGGGGCCCTCCCGCCTACCAATCCGCACAGGCTTCCTTGGGGCAATGCCAATCGGAAGCGGCCGCAGTCCCCGCCCCACCAGCTTCCAGCAGCCTTCGCCAGGCCGACTTCCGCGAGAAGGCACTGGAGTTGCGGCAGTCGGCGTTTTCAGAGGAGCTAAGCTGCTGTCTTTTCTTATCTCCTGGAAACAGGGGAGGTGACGAGCTCCTACAATCAAGTCACTGATGTGAGATACATATCGAGGTCTTTCCTCCATACCAAAGAGTAGAATCTTGGGTCATGTCTGAAATTGGAAAGGGCAAGTTCAATTGGCAAAAATCTAAGGCAAACTCAGTGTTTTTTTCTTAAGTACAGTTTGCCTAAAGCTATCAAATACCGTCAGCCCCTTTCTTTCATTGTCAAGAAGAGTTTCTCCTCTTTTAGCTGCCAGGGCAGGTCTACTGGTTTCATCACGAATGCTTCCCGGGGCGTTTCTCTCTTGTGTGTGATAATGGCATATCGGAGGCGTCTAGTCGTTGTTGCTTAGATTCCTGGCACTTAACAAGGTGAGCATGCTGTGGATTTTTAACCATCAGAAAAGTGTTTTTGTGTTGGTCTTCTGGGGAAATATAACAAAATCTAAAAAGTACATCTTCACTATCTGAAATTCTACAGTACCTAATCAAGGCTGCTTTTGTGTTAAGGGCTAATTTTCCTCATGGAATTACTTCATCACATTTTGATAAACACTTTCAGTAGTAGCATCAAATGTATGATCAGCCTGCAGTGACAGAAAATGGAAGGGCCAGGGGAAGAAATTAAGGGGAGATAAAGCCAAGAGGCCCAGACATTACAAGTTTGACACTGCCTACAGAGACACCATCCCCATGCAGACGTGTCTCGTCGGTGGAGGTCACAATTTCAACATTGGAAACACAACCTAGAAACTAGGAGTTGCAGATTCCTCAAAAGTCAAATTACTTTTTGGTGTTTTTATAAATTTATTTTAAAAAATAACAATTGCAATGACATCAATGATCGATCACCTGTACCCCCCATACCGCTAGGGGAAAAACCTTCGATATAGTTGAGTCCCAAAGAAAAATCAAGACATTATTATCAGGCACCCTATAGCCACAAAATGCTCTGTTGGTCCAGTGGTATAGACACTGACATGTTCAATGTACCAGTGCAGTTAAAATATATACACTTAAAATTATCCTGCCAAAAAAAAAAAACACTCAAGTGGCATAACTAGGCATTAAACCAATTATTCATTTATCCATTCATTCTGCATCTGTGAAGTCATCACTAGAGTTACAAATAAAAATGAATAAAAGAACTAGTAACAAAGAAAAAAATCTGAACGTCAATATCCTGCCCCCACTTTGTGGGCTACTATGGTGTGCTAAAGTGACCACAAGAAAAGGGTCATGAGCTATTTGAAATGCAATGACAAAATGACAACTGAAGCATTTCAAACAAAACAAAATTCAAACTCATCCCCCCACCCCCAAATAAAAAATTCAGCAACAAGGCTGGCATTACTATGTACAAACTTACAGACACAAATAAATAGCATAACTGTTGGCGGCTTAAGCACTCAGATCTGAGTAATTTCTGAACTCTGCATCTTACACTCCTAGATTAACCAAGGAATATAAATTCCTCATTGTTAATAATCTATCCTCTGAAAAACTTGGGACTTACTGAATAACATTAATATCTGAAACTCTATTTATAGAGAGCCAGAAGTTTCTAGTGAGCTTACCAAAGGATCAGCACTTTGACATCTGGAAGCCTGGATAGATTACCAGATCCCTGGGACTGGGAAGATTCCACTTCCTGTTTCCTTTGCATAGCTCTGTACCTCTATCATTACAATGATCTCATCTTGTGGTGTTTTTACAGAGCTTAATTTATTTTCTGTCTTAATACAGTTAAGCTGAAGTCAAATAAGAAAGACCTAATCTTTATTCTTGGTATTTAACCCCAATGTTCCTCAGAATTATTGGGTTTTCCTTGTTTCCAGAGAAGACAGCCAACTCTTCTGAAATACCTTAGTTCTCTCAGGGCTCACCATCTAGAAAAGAAATAGATTTGAGGCACAACCCATTCTGGTAACAATGGCCCAGTTCCTGACCCTGCAGGCATGTCTATTTCTAGTCTGCAGTTTATTCTGACAGTTACAGATGCAATGAGAAAACTTTTCTGCAAAAGGCCTATGGAGAAAACATGAAAACTGGCACCAAAGAATCAGCTGCCATGGGAAGAATGAGAATGCTTTTCTAGGGCTAGCATTGTGCTGCGGGAGTGAAGCCAACATCCACTTCAGGCTCTAGTGGGTAACCTGGACTCTGTCCGGGACAGCGTGACTGATCAGTGCTTTCCAGAAATTGTCAAGGATCAAATCTCAGATTTCTTCCTTTCAGTGCTTATTAAAGGTTCTAGAGTAAATGTGAATTACTCTCTTCATCTTAATGATCCATTCCAGGTATCCATCTACTGGAGAATTACGCTCTATAACATATGGGTGTACATGCTACTCTCTCTCTCCGTCTCCCCCTCTCTCCTCCTAGGCTGAAACACATGAACCTTTCAGTTCCCCAGATGCTGTCACAAAGTCTATGACTGAAAATCTCTAGTTTGGCTCTCCCTTTAGGAGTTACTACAAATGTCCTCAGTGCTTCAATAAAGAAGTTGTTGAATAGTCTTGTTCTCTACTCAGGAAAGGCAGTTTCAAGGTCCAATACTCTCTACGTTGTCTTAGAAGTAGCCACAGCAAGTACTATGGTCCAGATGACCAGTCAACAGAGGGACAAGCAGACCACAACTTTTCAAAGCTAGAAAAAGAGATTCAGCAATGTATATTTTTAGTGCTTCAGTCTTTTATCATTCTATCCCAGAGTTAGCTTTTTCTTGGCTTGAGTTCAGAAATATCAACCTACCACCTGGGCAGACAGAAATTCTTATTATTACCACAGATGAGAAGAATGTACCTCAGGAATTTATTGTTTCCATATCACAAGATAGAACTTCCTTGCCTGGAAGCCATCTCTGAATACAAAGCGTCCATTCAGTTACTCAGTGTGAGATCCCCTACCAGAGAGATAAATGCTGTCTAAATTCCATGGGAAGGAGTGGGCTGCTGCTTTCCTGACTGCAGTTTTGGTTGAGAAGGTTGTTCTTCCCTGCTGAGATGGCTGACTTCACCAGTCAACATAAGTGCTTTAAGTACTGCTGGGCTGGCGTGTGTCTCCTTGCATCATCTGAATCCATGAAATGTCAGTGGCATCAACAGTGTGAAATAGGTTCTGACTGAAAGAGTAAGACAAAGGCTTGCAACTTCAATTTTCCAGGCATCGCTGCAATTGTAATACTGAGCCACTTATTAAAAACTAAGTGGTTTCTGTCCTGTAGAAAAGGGCAGAATGTGATCATCAATGTCCCACTGGATGAGTTGATCGATTTCCTGGAACAGTGAGAAACTGGTGAGGAACAGGACTTTGATCAGCTCCATCACATGGCCTGGGGTTAGGACACTCGGATGATCTGTGTCATTGCTTCTTCATCGGCTTGGTTTGGATCCTAGAGACAAAGATGACATGATGATTAAAGTCCTTTGCAAAAGCAACAGGAACTCATGGCTCTCTACTTATCCTCAAGAGAATACACACAACTTTACTAAGTAAATCAAAGGTTTGTAATATACCTTAAGTCTGCATACATGGCTTAAAGTGCAGCCCCATTAGGAAAGAAGAGACAATAAACCTTATTCTTAAAAATTTTAAATCTGGTTTGCACTCCATGGTGAAACACTCCAGAACTGTTAGTGTATCTCTTTCCTAAGAATCTTGTGGTGTTCTCTATACTTTACGGGTTAAGGGTATGCGGGTGGCTAAGGAAAAGACCCAGAGAAACCATGTCATGCTATATTTTTGTCATTGTTTTTTGATCATCATTTAAATACTGAGTACTTAGCAGAGCTGGAAAGAATCATTAGAACCTATACACTTTGATGTACTCTTTTTACAGATAAATCTAAAGGCCAGATGGGTAAAGTGATTTGCCTGGACTAGGGTCAGAAAGTTAGGCGCCAGCAAAGGCTAACCCCCAACTCTTGACTCCCGTTTAATCTTCTTTCCATTGAACTCTACATGCTGTTTCTCACTTAAGACCTTCAGTGTTAACAATAAATCCTTGGAAGCTTTGTGCAACACTCTGCAAGAACCACCTTTAGTTCTCCCATACCAAGGCTCTGAAACCTTGGTAGGGAGGATCTGAGAAAAAGCTGAAAGACTTCTGGAGATGGAAGACTGGGTCTTGAACAATGAGCAAAAACAATAACTAGCATTTACTGAACTTGCCATGCACTAGGTATGGTGCTATATAGATGCCTAATAGTGGATTACTGAATGAAATCCCTACAACATTCCTGTGGAGAAGTATCAACAGTATTCCACTTTACAGATAAAAATAAAAAGAGGCTGAATTGACCAAGATCATATTGTTAGCACATGGCACAATGCCCTCCTGTATCTGGCAGGCCCACATTCATACACTGTATGAATGAATAGCAATGAGAAAGGAGGAGCTCTCACAATACAGGTGAGGACTAGTAGCACTGAAAGAGTTGTTAGGGTTCATTTGTGGGGACACTGAGGAAACTGAGTTTGATTATTGAGAGGGGTGATAAGGCAAAGTTGCTTAGATGATATATAGAAATAGTTTGAGATTTGATGCAGTTAAGAAATGAGGAACTATTTATTAATAGCATGTATCCTTGATCTGGGGACTGGCAGTTAAAAAAAAAAGTTTTATAACTATCTGGCAGTACTATATAAGGTCAATTAGAGGAAACTGGAGATTAATTTAATGGATATTGCAGTAGTGCAGGTGGAATGTGATGTTCATATAGAATGAAGTGTCAGTAAATGGGAGGAATCTATTAATTCAAGAAACACTGATTGCTTGGTTCAGAACTGGATATTAAACCCAATAAATACATCTAAATTAAATACAACTTAAATTGAAGTAAGTTCAATAAACACAACAGAGAACAAAAAAATTCTCTGCGCTCTATTCACCTTACAGTCTAGTGAAGGAAACCATCTTGAAAAAATTCAAAAACTTAATTATTATCACACTGTAAAGAAAAGGGCCAAGTGCTATGGTGTGTCCCTGTAATCTTAGCACTTTGGGAGGCTGATGTGGGAGGATCGATTGAGCCTAGGAGTTTGAGACCAGCTTAACCAACATGGAGAAACCCCGTCTCTACTAAAAGTACAAAATTAGCTGGAAATGGTGGCGTGTGGCTATAATCCCAGTTACTTGGGAGGCTAAAGTGGGAGGATCACTTGAGCCTGGGAGGTCAAGGCTACAGTGAGCCATAATCATACCTGCAGCTTGGGCAACTCCTACTTCCTCCCACCCCAAAAAACAAAAGCAAGATGTTTTAAGAAAACAGAGAGAAGAGACCTATTCTAGATAGGGTAGGCTAGGGTATTTAATAAACTAAGACCTAGCAGATAGGAAGACAGCCATGAAAAAAGATGCCATTAAAGGGCATACAGACTGAAAATTCTAAGGACAAAGGCCCATGGCAGGAAACAGACCAATGAACAGTAAGCAAAAGCACAGAGACCAAGAAGTAGAAAAGAAGTTAGAGGTAAACAGGAGCTGGAGCATGCAAGGCTTTGCTGGCCGTGGTAGTAAACACTTGGGATTTCAGTCCAAGTGCAAATGGGAAGGGGTGGGGTTTGAAGGAGCTTGATCAGAAGTGACTCGATAGGATAAACATTGAAAAAAGATCACAGTAAGATGTGGCAAGTAGGCTACAGGGGGACAAGAGTAGAAGAAAGGAAATTAGGCAGCTATTTTATAAATCTAAGCCAAAGACAGGAGGATTAGACCAGGCTCACATCAGAAGGGAAAAAAGTAAACATTCAAATTATATTTGTGATGGGGTAATAAAACTTGTTCAATAAAAATAAAACTTGTTCCTTGAAAATTAAGAAAACTGCAATTTTCTAGAAAGAATTAACAGTAATAACTGATAAAGATAAAGAGCAAATAAAGACCACTGGATTAAAAACCTTTAATATTCTTTCTTCTTGAGACAGGGTCTCACTGTCACCCAGGCTGGAGTGCAGTGGTGCCATCCTGGTTCACTGTAGCCTCAACCTCCTGGGCTCAAGCGATCCTCCCATCTCAAACCGCCAAGTAGCTGGGACTACAGGCATGCATCACCAGACCTGCATAGTTTTTGTATTTTTTGTAGAGATGGGGTTTTGCCATGTTTCCCAGGCTGGTCTTCAAATCCTGGGCTTCCCACCTCAGTCTCCCCAAGTGTTGGGATTACAGGCATGAGCCACCATGCCTGGCCTAGTGATTTTAGGATAAAAGAGAATCTAAAGAGACACAGATTGCATCCAGTTTAGGGAATGTGAGTAGTCCCAGAGTATGAACATAGCAAGAGGACACTGCTGAAGGCTTCAATTCAAGTCAATACAAGGTAATAAAGAGAAAAATAAAAGGTGTAAGTCTTTTTACCTGCATATGGGGACTATCCTTTTCCTTTGGAGAGAAAAATCGTCCACCCTCACCACGCTTCCGTGCCATGGCATGACGGTGCCGGGACTCATGCAGGTATTTCTAAAATGAGAAAACCATTTAACTATTAATACTATCCAGAGCCAGCAGTTATCTAGTGTACAAATTCCATTCTCCAAAGTTTAAGACAACTGGGATCAAAGCCACAGGGACAATTATGACTTAGAATGATGATGAAAGCTTTGGAGAAAACACCTAGTAAGATAGCTAACCATATGTAACTACTGTAAGAATGTGAATGCTTACAGCATGAATTTTAAAAAGTATAACAGAGATTACCACCTATACTTCCCAATATATACCCTTCCCTTCTGCTGTAACAACAGGCCAAATTTCATTTGGGGAAATGAGTGTTCAGTGAAGACTTTCCTGGCATTAAAGTTGATTATTATTATTTTAGAAACGGGGCCTCATGCCGACACCCTCGCTGCTGGACTGCAGTGGCATGATCATGAATCACAGCAGCCTCAAATTCCTAGGCTCCTGTGATTCTCCTACCTTAGCCTCCCAAGTAGAACTACAGGCATTTGCCACCATACCTGGCTGGACTTTCCTAGCCTTATCTGCATGTAAGTGTGATCAGGTAACTTAACTGTGGCTAGTAAAAGGTACAGAACTTCTTGAAAGTTTCCTTGTAATTAAGGGTAACTGGCCAGGTGTGGTGGCTGACACCTATAATTCTAGCACTTTGGGAACCCAAGGCCAAGTGGATCTCCTGGGATCAGGAGTTCGAAACCAGCCTGGCCAACACGGTGAAACTTCGTTTCCACTAAAAATACAAAAATTGGCCAGGCACGGTGGCTCACGCCTCTAATCCCAGCACTTTGGGAGGCCGAGGTGGGTGGATCATGAGGTCAAGAGATTGAGACCATTCTGGCCAACATGGTGAAACCCCATTTCTACTAAAAAATACAAAAAAAATTAGTTGGATGTGGTGGCGCACGCCTGTAGTCCCAGCTACTCCAGAGGCTGAGGCAGGAGAATTGCTTGAACCCAGGAGGCAGAGATTGCAGTGAGCCGAGATTGTGCCACTGCGGTCCAGCCTGGTGACAGAGCAAGACTGTGACTCAAAAAAAAATTAAAACAAACAGTAAGTCCAAAAATACAAAAATTAGCCAGGCGTGGTGGGACACACCTGTAATCCCAGCTACTCAGGAGGCTGAGGTAGGAGAATTGCTTAAACCTGGAAGGTGGAGGTTGCAGTAAGCCAAGATTGTACCACTGCACTCCTGCCTGGGAGATAGACCAAGACTTCGTCACACAAAAAAAGCAAAGAAAAAGAAAGGGTGCCTTTCTTGTTCCCTTTCTTCCTAGGTTGGAGCCTAAGTAGGAATCTTAGTAAATCAAATTCTGTATTTCGCACCCTAGCAATATTAGAGCAGTGAAACAGGTCTTGAGAACTGTGAAAATGTGCTATCAGTCCAGGATAATTTATCTCTGCTCTACTTTTACGTATGAAAAGGAATAAAATTTTACTTAAGCCACTGTTTGTTTTTGTTGTTATAACTGCAGTTACATACAGTAATAACAAATGCTAATTCTTATCAGAGATAACAAGTACCTAACGTCAATTGTTTGGAAGTTACTCAAGAAAACAAGCCATATAAAAGATAATTTCAAAAGCAGAACTCTTCTATCCTCCTCTCCTTTGTCCTTCGCAATGTTATACATACCCTCCTCTCCTTCGGAATTTTCCCTTCCGCCTCTAGTTTAGCCCGGGCTTGCCTCCTCTTAAGAATACGGTGGTATTGTTTGGCATTCACATAGAGAGGCTCTTCTTCAAGCATCTCTGCTCCAGGTAGAGGGATTCTTTGGATAGCAGGCACAGAGCCAGCCCCAGGAACCATCTGTGTGAACAGAAAACCAGAGCTTGTTGATAGCATGAAGTATGGACATAGAAACAGTTTTTTTGGTTCCTCTTCATTTTTTTCTAAATGCCACAAAAAGTAACTTTTAGAGGGTACTTGGGTAAATGCAGATCCCTGGAGAAATTTACACTAAAGATCTGTACTTTAAACAAACACCCCAGATACTGTGTCATAGAGGCGCCACCTTGAGAAACAATATAACCATGCCCAAATTCATGTCTACCTGTGGCTCTAGATATTTCTGCTGCCATCTAATGGTCAGGAATAGTAGTCATAAGACAGAAAACAGCACAAAAATATATAGACCAGGTGCTACTAAATGTCTATATTTATAAAAATAGTTAAGTTATAATTCAATCCTAATTCTTCTTTTAAAACACCAAGAAAACACTGTACTAAATATACGTGAAAACAAGTAACAGATGCCTGTACCCCGCAGCTCTTTCCAAACTATAACCACTTTGAATAACTATATTGATTCTTTTCTAAAAATTATTTATCATTTAGTTAGTAGAGACAAGATCTCTCTACGTTGCCGAGGATGAGCTCAAACTTCTGGACTTAAGCCATCTTCCTCCTTTAGCCTCCCAAATAACTAGGACTATAGGTGTATGCCACTGAGTCAGGCTTTGTCTGTTTCTTTTCATAGCTTCCTTTACTATGTCCAGACTTCTGTTACTCATTGTTAATTTATGCATTTAACATCCCATTTTGACATGAGGATTTAGCTTTCACTCACACCACCCAACTCTTCGTATCTTCCCAATACATTTACATCACACATTTTTTTTTTTTGGTTTCTCTATCAATTACAATCTTTCTAATTTTTAGCTTCTTCCTTATTTCATCCATCATGGACAATACTACTTTCCAATTCTCAAAGATTAGTATATTCTTCCCTTCATTATTTGAATTCTGAAAAGAATTGCATAAAATCACTATTTATCCATTGCTTTATCTCCAGCATCTAGACTAGTCCCTGGCACATAGTAGGTGCTCAGAATGAATTATGGTTTGTCATAATGTTATTGTAAAAGTAGATTACTGACATTGCCCTAAGGATCAATTTCAATCCCAAGAGGTCGGTATAATAAACAGATTTTATGAGGCATCAAGTTGCATGTTCAAGAAAATTTCAAAGACAAAGCTGAAGAATACATTTTCTTACCATGACCATTCCTCCTGAATTGACCACATTGCCCGCCACTGGTAGTGTCACAGTGACAGTCCCTTGCCCACTGCTGGTTGTGTTGGTATTGGCTCCTGTCTGAACAATCTGTGCTCCTGCCAAACTGGCTGCTGGGATAGTGATCATGCCTGAAACAGGGACTGTAACTTTAAGAAAACAAAACATAAAACAAACAAAAAACAGGCACACAGAACAGAAAGAAGGGAACACAGTTAGTCCCTCTTCTATCTGGTACACATTCATTCATCCTGGCAAAACACACTGAAAAACACAAAGGGAGAAAAAGTACTCTCTCATTCTGGTGTGCTACATATAATCCAAGTAATCACAATATCTGAAATTCTATTAAGTGTCTAGGTCCCAGTTGTGAGTAACTCTGTCCTTAGCAGTTTTCAAAAGGTGAAAAGGTTTGGAGGCCTCCTCTTCTATAGGTCACTCTGACGAGCTACACCTATTGCTCTTGGACATATGAGCAATCTGCTTCAGGACAGAGATTGTATAAACTTATACTTTATCTCAAACTGACAATGAGTCAGTTGTAGTATTAAAACTTAAAATTAAACCAAGCATTCCAAGACCCCCAACTATCAAGAGCGACACTTGAGGGTTTGTTCATCATTCTGTTTCAGCTCTTGCCTGGGCTCAATCCAGTTCAGGGCCGCCCCTGAATTATACAAGAGCATATAGTTACTGCACTCTCTGGACGTTGTATATTGCAAATTTTCAATCACAAAGTCATGGAATCTAACAAAGATGTCCTTTTTTGATTTAACTACTTGACTAACAAGTGCTTCTAAAAGTCTTCAAGTTCAGTTCATGCACTCCTGCTCCTGGGCCAAACAGATCTCTCCATTATTTACATTATCTACTCCTAGAACATACTTCTGCGAGGGCCGTGAATTGTATCTATTTGTTCACATGTCTCTCTTACTAGACTGGAGGCTCTTTGAGAACTCTTCTTAGTAAAAGTGCTGTATATATATAGTTATATAAGGAAATCGAGTGAACCAGAAAAATAACATAAGCTGCAATAGCACTCTAAAGCCAACCTGATTTTTTATCTATTTCTCTTTACTAATAAACTATTTCTAATCTTCTATTTAGAAATACTTCTTCCCTAAATGCTTACACAATCCCTAGATTAACAGCCACTGTAGGAACTCCTACACATGGAATCACTGTTGGTCATGGATGGTAACAAAAAACCAACAATCATTGGAGAGCTAGAGGAAACCCTTTTTTTTTTTTTTTGGTCCAAACGTATGTGGTGTCAAGTTCACCACTACAATTCTAAAGATGTCAGCTGCCTAAGGGACAAAAAAATTGCCCCAAGAAGTCCTAGGGAAACTTATGGGTACACTTACCTTGCTGGAGAATGGTGCCATCTGCATTAACTGGCTGATAGACGATGGTCTGCCCTTCAGCAGTCTGTGCCACTTGCTGTCCCTGGACAGCAATCTGCTGCTGTGTCTGGAGGAAATAAATACACAATTCAATAGATCCCAAAGACACTAACAAAGAAAAGAACCATGTAGTCCTTAAAAAAAAATAATTTTTTTTTTTTTTGAGACAGAGTCCGCTCTGTTGCCAGGATGGAGTGCAGTGGCGTGATCTAGGCTCACTGCAACCTCTACTTCCCAGGTTCAAGCAGTTCTCCTGTTTCAGCCTCCTGAGCAGCTGAGATTACAGGCATGTGCCACTGTACCCTGCTAATTTTCATATTTTTAGTAGAGATAGATTTCACCATGTTGGCTAGGATGGTCTCGATCTCTTGACCTGGTGATCCGCCTGCCTCGGCCTCCCAAAGTGCTAGAATTACAGGCGTGAGCCATGGTGCCAGGCCAAAAAAAAATTTTTTTTTAATGGTTTTCTTTTTTTTTTTAGAGGAAGAAAGAAAAAGAATAAAAAAAAAAAAAAGAAAAAGAAAAAAAAAAAAAAGAATAAAGGAAAGGAAGAAAGAGGAAGAGGAAGAGGGAGAGAGAACAGGGGTGTTGCTTTATTGCCCGGGCTAGAATGCAGTCTAAAAATGGGTATGCCTGTAATTGTTTAATAATAGAGGCATTAAAAAAAAAAAAAAAAAAAAAGGGAAGAAAATAATTAACAAGCAGCCAACCAATATTTCATTTCAACCTGTAAATACATGTGATGTAGTACTGATAAGAGTGTATATTTTGTGTATTTAAAGTGCAGAGTTCTATGAATGTTAATTAAGTCTACTTGTTCCAGATCTGAGTTCAGGTCCTGAATATCAATGTTAACTTTCTGTCTCATTGATCTGTAAGTCTCCCACTATTATTGTGTGGGAGTCCAAGTCTCTTTATAAGTCTTATATATCTGGGTATTTCTGTATTGGGTGCATATATATTTAGGATCTTTAGCTCTTCTTGTTACATTGATCCTTTTATCTTTATGTAATATCCTTCTTTGCTTCTTTTGATCTTTGTTGCTTTGAAGTCTATTTTATCAGCAAAAATTGCAACTCCTGCTTTCTATTTATCTATTTTTGCTCTCCATTTGGTTGGTAAATTTTTCTCCATCTCTTTGTTTTGAGTCTTTGTGTATCCTTGCATGTGAGATGGATCTGGATGTAGCATACCAATGGGTCTTGGCTTTTTTTTCCTGTCTGTGTCTTTGGATTGGGGGATTTAGTCAATTTAAATTTAGAATTAATAACAATATATGTGAGTTTGATACTGTCATTTAATGTTAGCTTGCTGTTTTGCCCATTAGTTGATGCAATTTCTTAATTATGTTGATGTTCTTTATTTTTTGGCATTTTTTAGAAAGGCTGATAACTGGTTGTTCCTTTCTATTTGTAATGGTTCTTTCAGAAGTCCTTGTAAAGCAGGCCTGGTGGTGATGAAATCTCTGAGTGCTTGCTTGTTCACAAAAGATTTTATTTTTCCTTCGCTTATGAAGCTTAGTTTGGCTGGATGTAAAATTCTGGGTTGAAAGTTCTTTTCTTTAAAGATGTTGAATATGGGCCCCCACTCTCTTCTGTCTTGTAGGGTTTTTGCTGAGAGATATGCTGTGAGTCTGATGGGCTTCCTTTATGGGTAACCCGACCTTTCTCTCTGGCTGCCCTCAGTATTTTCTCTTTCATTTCAACCCTGGTGAATCTGGCGATTATGTGCCTTGAGGTTGGTCTTCTTGAGGAATATCTTTGTGGTGTTCTCTGTATTAGCTGGAGTTGAATATTGTCCTGCCTTGCTAGGTTGGGAAAGTTTTCCTGAATAATATCCTGAAGTGTATTTTCCAGCTTGGATTGAGTCTCTTCGTCACATTCAGGTACACCTATCAAACGTAGATTAGGTCTTATCACATAGTCCCATATTTCTTGGAGACTTTGCTCGTTCTTTTTTATCCTTTTTTCTCTAATCTTGTCTTTTTGTTTTATTTCATGAAGTTGGTCTTCGACCTCTGATATCTTTTCTTGTGCTTGATCAATTCGGCTGTTAAAACTTGTGCATAGTTCGCGAAGTTCTCATGTTGTATTTTTCAGCTCCATTAATTCACTTATATTCCTCTCTAAATTGTGTGTTATTTTTAACATTTCGTCAAACCTTTTTTCAAAGTTCTTAGTTTCTTTGCATTGGGTTAGAACAAGTTCTTTTAATTCCCAGAAGTTTCTTATCATCCACTTTTTAAAGCCTGCTTCTGTTAATGGAACACAGTCTTTCTCCATCAGGCCTTGTTCCATTGCTGATGAGGAACTGTGATCCCCTGTAGAGGGAGAGGCATTCTGATTTTGGGTATTCTCAGCCTTTTTAGGTTGGTTTCTTCCCTTCGTTATAAATTTATCCATCTGTGGTCTTTATAATTACCGTCTTTATAGTTGGGTTTCTGAATGGACGTCCAACTTGTTGATTCCCGGCGCTAGAATCTGAGCAACCCACTGTGCCGGCCAAAACAGCGGCTTTAAGATTGATGGTGCTTTTCTGACTCTGTACCAAGAACCGCCGCTCCAAGGCAGTGGCAAAACTGCCTCACCGGCCTCAAGAGTCGCACTGGTGACACGGGGGGCTCCTCCGCTGGGAATCTCCTGGTGCGGGAGCAACAAAAATTGATCTGAAAGTGTGGCGTCCTCTCAGTCTCTGCTCTTTCAGTGGGAGCTACAATCCCGACCTACTAGTGATCAGCCATCTTGGATCTCTCTCCCAAGTTTTCATCCCTTTTTTACTATACATGAAATATCTGACTCTTCCAAATCAGTTGTGTTCCTTCGTGACAAAGCTAGTGGAATTACCTGAGTCTGGCCAGCAGTCACGGCTGTCTGGGGCTGCTGGATGATGATCTGCTGGGTCTGGCCCTGCTGGCCCTGCACCTGCACAGCCTGTCCACCTTGGATCTGAATCTGTCCAGGTGGGACCAACTGTATCTGCAGAAGAGAACATAAAAAAAGGGATTGTAATCTACTGACACTGGTCTCCTTCGGTGCCTGAGAGTTATCCACATTTCTCTAGAAAGCAGAAAATGTTCTGAAGAGGAAAAAAGAAGCCCCGCTCTCTCCTCGATTATGAAGTAGAGACAAGTTATTTTCCATTTATGAAACAATCAGAATTTTGAACACTGGATACCTCATATTAAGAAATCAGTGTCAGTTTTTATAAAAGATAGCAGTGGCATGATTATATATATTGAAAAGGATGTATATTTAAAATACACTCTGGGCCGGGAATTGTGGCTCACACCTGTAATCCCAGCATTCTGGGAGGCCGAGGTGGGTGAATCACTTGAGGTCAGGAGTTAGAGACGAACTTGGCCAACATGGTGAAACACTCATCTCTACTAAAAATACAAACATTAGCCAGGCATGGTGGTGCACTCCTGTAATCCCAGCTACTTGGGAGACTGAGGCAGGAGACTCATTTGAACTGGGGGTGGAGGTTGCAGTGAGCCAAGAACGCACCACTGCACTCCAGCCTCGGCGAAAGAGTAGGACTCTTGTCTCAAAAAAATTAAACAAAAAACACTGTGAAGTATTTTTACTATTATTTTTTAACCTTGTCATTTTGGTGAATGAAGTACTTTTTTACAGGGGAAATAATAAATATATTAAAAATGTTGACAGCTAGTTATTTTCCATTTATGAAACAATCAGAATTTCGAACACTGTCTGGATACCTCATATTAAGAAATCAGTGTCAGTTTTTATAAAAGATAGCAGTGGCATGATTATATATATTGAAAAGCATGTGTATTTAAAATACACTCTGGGCCGGGAATTGTGGCTCACAACTGTAATCCCAGCACTTTGGGAGGCTGAGGTGAGCAGATCCGGTCAGGAATTCGAGACCAGCCTGGGCAATGTGGCAAAACCCCATATCTACTGAAAAATATAAAAATTATCCAGGCGTCGTAGCACATGCCTGTGATCCCAGCTACTTGGGGAACTGAGGTGGAAGGATCACTAAAGCCTGGGAGGCAGAGGTTGCAGGGTTGCAGTGAGCCAAGATCCGATGTACCACTACACTCCAGCCTAGGCAACAGTGAGTAACTGTCTCAAAAAAAAGCAAAGAAAAAACCCAAAATGTATTCTACCCTAGTCAAATGTGACTGCAGCCCAGGACAACACCTTGATAAGGGCCTTGAGAAAGACCTTGAAAGAACCCAACAAAGCCATGCCAGGATTCCTAACTCACAGAAACTGTAAAATAAATGTTTGTTATTTTAAGCTGCTAACTTCTAGGACAATTTGTTATGCAGTAATAGATAATTAAGGCAATGTGACAGATTATATTCCTCCTATAAGTTTCCAATAATAACCTCACCAATACTCACTACTGTCATTCACGTTTGTCAAATTTTTGTTGATTTAGTTTGTATCTCCTATTTGGTCTTAGGATTGGATAGCTAAGCCTTAGATAGCAATTATGGAAAGCAAGCGATCGTGTGCTGTTCAAATCTATCTTCTTTCTTTTTTAAATGGCTATAGCCAGTTTATTAGGAGTATTATGAGAAACCTGACGAGAAGCTTGAAAAATATTTCTTTAAAATTTTGGAACTAAAAAACTGCAATACAACCCTTTAAATGCTGGGTGTACAAAATCCTATTTTCATATAACTAGTGGACACATTTTTTTTTTAAGCTCTAAAGAGAAAGCAGTTAGGAAGGCTCCAGAGCTCAACATTTCTAGTATTTTAGATTCAAAAATACCTCCCAAACTTAAAAGTCAGAATACATGGCTACTCAACTAGGTTTTCCCCCAAAGCCCCTTCATCTCCCTTCTCTTTATTTCTTTAACCATTCATTCCATCAACAAACTGTTTTTTATTTGGGCATTGCTTCAACAGAGGTGGTAGTTTGGAAGGAGGATACTTTCAGAAAGATAGATTTTTATAGCCAGGTCGCTTTTCATCCATAATTTCAACTTGGACCAACTCAGTCGGGAGAGAAGAACATGCCTGGAACCTTAAGTTATCACAAAATCTACCAGTTGATAGGAAAAAGGGACTACTAATAAAACGAAGGTGAAAAAACAGGTCAATGGGTTCCATGTCTTAGTGACATTCATGGTTCCTCCTTTGTTAGGGGATAGATTGCCTAGGTTTTCTTAATTATTTTTTCCAAATACTTAGCTCATAATTAGCATTCAGAAAGTACTGGCAAATAAACAAGTAAGCAAATTTATGTGGTTATGTGAACCTATTTCATTTCTGAGTTTATATTGGCTATTAGGATTTCCACATCCAACTATTCATATTCTTTGCCCATTTTCTACTTTTGTATAAATACATAAAAGTTATATATATATATTTTGAATACAAAGTCAGTAATATGTACTAAAAAATCCAAGTCTTCACCTTCTTTACTTTTATATTTCAATGCATGTTTTAAAGTAGTTAAGTCAATTTGTTTTTAAGAAATCCTTCTCTATAGCACAAAAAATTCTCCAATATTTTCTTTTGAATTTTCTAAGTCTGCTTTTCTACATTTAGATCTTTAATCTATCTGGCAAATATTTTTAAAAATACAGTATGAGGTGGAAATCAAATTTTTTTCTGTATCATTCTTCAGCCATTTCTTCACTGAAGTTTACACCACGTGAATTATATGCCAACTTCCAATATTCTTCTATCTGTTTCTTGGCTGTCTTTCTGGTTCCAGTGTCCTTCTCAGGCCAAGGATCTTAATCTAAAATTATATGTAGAATTTTCCATGTGACTGGACATCCGTACTTTTTCTTACAGGGTGCAAGCTTTACTAGGATTCTAAGATGGAGAATACACTTCAAAAAAGGTTAAGAAGTACTCTTCTTTAACAAATGGCTACTCAAAGAACACTAATGAGAAAAAAAACCTCTTATACATAGGGGATTAAAGCCTTAAGCATTATAAGGTAGGCTATGAAATCTCACCTAGAGCTTTATTTATGTAACAGAATATATTTTTTTCTGCCTGGTTAGTTATTGCCCTACTTGGAAGCAGGGGAATAAAATAACTCTTTCAAGGTTCCTTAGAGCAAAATAAAACCCTATAAAAATCACAGAATTTAGAGCTAGAATGAACCCTAGATGTCATCTCATATAAATTTTATTTTTGGATGAGCAAACAGATAATTAAATAACTTGGCCAAGATTAGAATGCTTGTTTAATGGCAGACCTGGTGATGAAAGCTGGATCACTACACTCACAGTATACTGTTTCTAACTATTCCACGCAGTCTCTACTGAACAGTGGAGAAGGCGGCGCAACAAGCAGGGCTGGAGAAAAGAACAGAAGCAAAGACAGAGGAACAGAAAGGATGTAGCAATGGGAAATCGAGGAAAGCACATGCTGAGAAGATATTTAAAGCCTCATTTATTTATGCATAGAGAAATGGAAAAATTATTTTTAATGCCAACTATAATTCTATCTTGGCAAAAATATGCCAATGGGCTCAAATATGCTCTTACCCTTTGCCAAGCAATCCCCAATGCAAAGAAATTACCCTGAGAATTCAATTGAAAAATAAAACTACCATGCCCAAGTATGTTTACCAACAAAAGCAAAGGAAAACCAAAATCCTTAACTATATTTTATAAATTAGAAATTCTGATTCATCAACCTGACTGAACATTATGAAAGAATTAAAAAGAACAACAGCAACGAAACCACCTCACATGCATGGTACAATCATGCCAAAAAATTATGATAGAAATACAAGCGAATACATAAAAAGTACAAGTTTGATTTATAAGCAGTGTGATCATGGCTGCTTTTTTCAACTGAAATTCCTCCAGAAAATTAAGACATTAATGTGGTTGCTATAACTGTTAAAACAAGATAAAGATTTACATAGAGTAAAAAGCTAATAGTTCTCCCTCATACTCCCTTTTCCATGCCTATAAACATATATTCATGGGGGTTTGGTTATGAATTACCAAGATGAGATCACACACTATTTCTCTGCAAATTATTTTCACTAAAAATAATTCAATATTAACCCACCCACAACAATAGTTCATTTCATTTTTTTTTTTTTTTTTTTTTGAGATGGAGTTTTTCTCTTATTGCCCAGGCTGGAGTGCAATGGCACAATCTCACCATAACCTCTGCCTCCCGAGTTCAAGCAATTCTCCTGCCTCAGCCTCCCGAGTAGCTGGGATTACAGGCATGTACCACCAAGCCTGGCTAATTTTTTTTTAGTACAGACGCAGTTTCTCCATATTGGTCAGGCTGGTCTTGAACTCCTGACCTCAGGTGATCCACCTGCCTCAGCCTCCCAAAGTGCTAGGATTATAGGCATGAGCTACCGTGCCTAGCCCATAGTTCATTTATTTTAATGATGATGCAGTAGTCCGTATGTGAATATATTATGATTTATTCCAACCATTTCCTTATTCTATTAATGGACACTCAGATTACAATTTTATTCTTTGCTAGTACAATGCTACGACAAGTGTCTTTGTAATTTCTCCCAAGTACTGATGCTTTTCTTCCTATAGGATAGATTCTCAGAAGTGTAACTGCCAGCTCAAGTGTTCGTTGTATTTAACAGATAGTGAGATGCCTTTCCCAAATAACTTCACAGTTTGAAATTACCAAAAATAATGATTAATTCTTTTTCTCTACATCCATCCTAGCAGTGGATATAGTGACTCTTTTTGGTTTTTGCCATCTTGATGAGAAATATCTCTCTAATTTTAAAATTTGATGCCACAGCGTTGTGTGTAACTATTTCCACATATTTCCTTTAATCTTTTTTTTTTTTTTTTTTTTTTTTGAGACAGAATCTTCCTCTGGTGCCTAGGCTGGAGTGCAGTGGCACAATCTTGGCTTACTGCACCCTCCACCTCCCAGGTTCAAGAGATCTCATGCTTCTACCTCCTGAGTAGCTGGGATTACAGGTACGTGCCAGCACACCAGTTTTTTGTATTTTTAGTAGAGATGTGCTTTTGTCCTGTTGGCCAGGCTGGTCTTGAACTCCTGGTCTCAAGTGATCCACCTGCCTCGGCCTCCCCAATTGCTGGGATTTTAGGCATGAGCCACCTGCCTGGCCTTCCTTTAATCTCTTCTATATCTTAGCTTACTTTTGTTTTGTATTTCTCAACCCATCTTTCAACTGGATTTACCTGTTTTATTGGTCTGTTTAAACAATCTAGATTTACCCTTTCTATACGTCAGTTTTCTACTTAATTTTGACATACTTTTTGCTTATTTTGTTATTTTTCTAACTTTCTAAGAATATTCATTTTTGCTTCTTTTAAAATAAAATATACTATAAATTAGATTCTAACCTCTTTACATACTTTATAGCAATTCAAGATCATGCCTAATATCTTAGTCTTTACTGGAGCTGTCCAATTTCTGCATAGTTCTAGTGTGTATCACTGGTACTACAAAAGCAGAAAATCAATTAAATGCAAAATGTCAGTCAGGAAGCGGTTAAATGCAACATCAATTATCAGTTTGTAACAATCTATTCTTTGAAACCTCTCATCTGATATATTGCTCAACATTTTTTAATACTACTCACCTGCTGCAAACCCTGTGTTCCAGAAACAGGTACTTGCATGATGGTTTGACCTTGTCCACCAGGGACAGCCTGGACCATGATGGGTTGGCCAGTTGATGTGATTAGCTGGCCTCCACTGACCTGCACCATTAATGGCTGCCCTTGGACCTAGAATGAAATAAAATAAGAACAATGAAATAACATAAGATACAAAATGGTTTTTACCAAAAGAAAATCACTGGAACTATTCTTCTGCCTTGCTAGAGAAAGAAAAGGTAGAAAAGACACTAAGAAAGTATGTCTTAAGTCCTCGAGTTATTTTTAAGTACCTATGATATCTGTTAAATGCCAATTTCAATACTTTAAGGTCAGACATAATGGAGTATATCCAGAGTCTTTGAGAAGTCTCAATAGATATAAGGCATTTGTCACTGAACCTGGGCTAAATCCCTGACAAACATTTAATCATAATGGCAAGGTTAGTTGCCTGTTTAAACCAATCCAGGAATGGTCTCTAGTGAAGGCTGGGAGAGGAGGCAATGAGAGAGAGAGAGGTGATGGTGGTGATGGTGGTTGAGTACAAATTCTAAATAAAGTGAAGAAAGTAAATCAATTCTACCCAGCAATGACTCTAAGAGGCTGGACAGCAAGCAGGTCTGGTAGGATGTTTATGGAGAGGATGACCCTTTTCTCCCTATAGTCTCTCAAGCTAAAATGAAATGTCAAATGTATACCTTTACCCTGCTCATTTTACTCTGTGAATTCTATGTTGTTGAAAGAGCCCACTACTAATGATTTCCTAAAAATACTTTCTGGTCAGTTTGTAGTCTCTATGGTGGAATTCCTCATACTGGCCTCTGTTATATCCACATGGTTATTTCAGTTTTATCAGAAGCAACAACAAATATTGAAATTACACAGAGCAGTCAGGTGTTCAAACTTCAAGCTCCTGTGAGTACACAGACTACTGTAGGAGCCAGGTCACTACAAGTGCTCTGTCACATCTTGAGTCCCAATACAAAAATACCTAATAGAATGCTTTCTGGAAGCACTTTTTAGAAGTAAACTGGAATGATCCATGGAATGGTCCAAAACTTTCATTTTCAGACTCTATCTTTGTTTTGACAGAAATTACTTGTAACACAAGAGAATATTCATGACTGAAGTATTTACACTTAATGATAGTGAAAGTATGTGCAAATAACAACAATTAGTTAAAAGATCATTCTGTCCTAGATGAGTAGGTTAGATAGTAAGATCTTCCCTACAATCACCACCACCACCACCAGCGCCACTGCCGCCACCACTCATGTATTAGAATCACCAGGAACACTGAAATCCTAGGTTTTGTTAAACTGTCCGTTGCGAACCTTTACTTTTTTAAGGACTTTACAGCCTGACTTTCTCATGTTCTCCTTCCCTTATTTCCTCATTCCAAATCAAATTCCTTTTGCTACACCAATGCTTGCGTAGTCTGTATCAAGAAAGATTTCTCAGAATACATATAGCATGAATAACCAATAACTATTTAAAATTCTCTCCAAATAATGAGATCCCTAAAGGAAAGGTTCCTATTATTTCCATAAAGTGTTTCCACTTCTTTTAAATAAAATCTATGTAAGTAGGAGACACAAGTTTTAAGATACAACTATTAATAATTTTTAATCTATTCATCATCTTAATTTCCTCCTGCTATTCGTGCACATGATAAATGATTGATACTCCGAAGAGCTCACTGTTTGCAACAGAAAAATGATTACAAAGACACATGCATCAAACAAGAAGCCATACAGTTAAGAGCATGTTACATTTCTATTCCACAAGGGGTTAATGACAATCCAAAATACTGTTTTATATATGAGTAAGATGAAACAAGCATGAAAAACATTAACAAGCTGTTGGACTGTGAGATTTTAATACAGTTTTGGAGTGCCTACAAGGTCGGTTTCTTTCAGCTCAATTTATGTTCAAAGTTGGCTGTACAACATTACCAAACACTATTGGTGGCAGGGGTAGGGGTGGGACTGAAAGGATAAAGTGAAATGATGACAATAAGAGGTAGTTATATGCAGGATGCTTAGCAGCACTAGCAATAAAGTGAGATGTCGGTTCTACATTCTAGATTCTACTTTGAATCACTTCCAATTCAATGGAGGGAAAAAGCAGGGTACCCAAATCTTGCCAATTTCTCAAAAATATATAGTCATTTTAATAAAAGTAACCTACATACACAGAGTAGACAAGTGCTCCTACTCCTATTTCTTATAGGAACTGGCCAAATTATAACCCAATTTAAGATACTTAGCCATACACAATGTTAAGGAACTGTACTGATTAACCAAGAATTATCATTGTGGCTTCAACACCTAAGACTTTCACAAGGTATATCCTGCTTCTGCCTAACCAAGAAGTATCTGGGGTAGTCTCTGCAGATCTAGTAATAAGACAGGTCACTATTTCCCCAGGAAAAGTAATGGAAACAATAGCAGTTAACAAGAGATTAACAAGATTCAGTGCTTAGATAAACCTTGGCAAGTCTAATTTTTCAGCTGAGTTGCCCCTTTAATAAAAATAAAGCACAGCCTAGCCTAGTCATGTGTGTCTATATATGTATGTATTTCCTTCTCCATTATAATACAAATATACAAAATTTTTACCATGCAATTAATTGGATCAGAGTTTCTAATGTCACTTCTAAGAATTTATTCCTGTCACTTATATCTTTTGTAGGCATTTTCAAAGAAACACACTAGTCAAATCCAATTCTTAGAAAATTGATATGGGGTATCTATATGACTTGGCATGAAACATTAGGAAACTGGCATTTTATAAGCCTCAAAGACAAGTTAGCATCAAAGACATGCAACTGACTTTGCCATTCCTACTGGAGATCCTAACACAAACAGCACCAGACATGAGGAGAGAAGTTCATGCAGTGCTCACAGAGAATCAGAGAGGATACCACTACCTGGAGGGTCTGGACTTGCTGGCCTGAGGCGGATGCCACCTGGGCCTCAGTCTGCAACTGCACAGCAGTGACACCACCCTGCTGCTGAGAACAGGAACAGGAAGAGCTTGAAATATGTCAGGAAGGAAATGTGTAGTTCAAGACATGAGATCACCTTATCTTGGAGGAGAGGGAGGGAAGCCCCACCCTACACAGGACTTTCAAAATGTACAGACTCCCTATATTGAAGCTGTTTTGTTGAAGGTAGTAGGATTAAAGATATTAGCCCTTTGCCTCCAGAGTGGACCTCAAAATGGGACTCAAAAACTCAAAATAGTTGTCATATTAACACAAAGATTTGTGATGCAATCTTTCCCTCTAGAAACAGGAATCTAATACTTCTACTTACACAATTATTTAATGCCCTTTTTTAACTCCTCTAATGAGTTCACGAGAAAAAAATGATTAGGTTTTAACAGCCCTGAAACTACCATGAAAAAATTCTGGGAATTAAATGCAATCACCAAGAAAGGAGGAATAATTAATCACCGTGAACCAAAATCATCTTCATGAGGTCAATGCTCTTATGCCCCAAAAGTATTTTTTTTTTTTTTCAAACTTTATTTACTTATTTTGAGATGGGGTTCTTGCTGTTTTGCCCAGGCTGGTCTTGAATTCCCGGGCTTAAGCCAACCTTCCTGTCTCAAACTCCAGAGTAGCTGGGATTACAGGCATGTACCAGCATGCCCCACTTCAAAACTAAGATTATTTCTACCCAACTGGACTGCTTTAAGGGCCATGTTTTCAGTGATTCAACCTTATTTTACATCCACGAATGGTAAATTCTGAAGGAATAAAAACCCACCCTCCAGGGCACTGGTCTGAATGGAGGGCCCTTTGTGGAATCCCCTTTTCTAAAAAGGCGGTTTGAGGAACCCGCGAGAGCCACAGCAGCTGTGTGGAACGGAAAGCTATCGAGGGAGTTTGTCTTTTCATTAACAGTAGCTCCTACCTTTGATCATTAGATGGGAACAACTCATCATCAATACTTCCTTTGCCCTCCCTACTACTTTTCTATATTAGCTAAATTCCATTTCCAAAACAAAGTATTTCCAAAATATCAATCTTGGCCTAAGGTCAAATAGAAGAATAATTAATTTCTTTTCTTCGAGGGGTGGGAAAAAAGTGAAGTTTTACTATAATAAACCCAAGCATAAAGCATCAGAAAATGTATCCTGCGTATAAATTCAAGAAAGCAATTGATTAATTAGGAATAGATCACCAGCAGGAAATTCCTTTCTAATATGTGCTTATCTGTAAGAATTGCTGTCTAAATATTATCCTAATGTTAAACCACAACTTTTCTGAATAAAAAAATGTGGCAGACCAAATCAAAGAACAGAAGATTTCCAGGAAGCTATGTTGGTTTGTCTATTGTGGCCAAAGGCTTACCAAATCACAAGTTAAGCTCAAACAACAAGAGAAAAAGACCAAATAGAATCCAGAAAAAAAATAAAAATAAAAATTTCCATCTGAAAACCAGACTAGATGTTTTTACTTTTAATGAGATAAAAGATGCAATTTACTATAACCAGGCACCCATGAAGAGCAGATTCTAAGTGGTCATGGGCTGGACATGGCACTTCAGCACAAGCCATCAGACTCAATATTTCACAAGATCTGGTACCTTTCAAATAATTCCCCTGGGTAATACACCAACCAATTGAGGGGTGCTGTTATCAATTTCGTTGATGTAATGTTTAAAGCAGTTTTACTTCCATACCTGCTGCTGAATCTGTCCTGCCTGGACAACAATCTGCTCTGTCGAACTATTGCTGTTTGCTGTATACTGCTCCATGGTCCCTCCAAGTGAGATTCCTGTCCACTCTGGAGATCCTAGAAGGCTGTGAGGTATACTCCTATTAGAAAGGTGGGGAAAGAAACAAAGTGAGATTGTCAATAAAGGCCTTAACAGACAATCAACCTGAATAATTTATCGCCGTACCTTATTTGCAAGAAAACAGGATAATAGGAAATGTTTATATTCAGTATCACTTTTAACTAAGATTACGTGGCACAGTCATAATAACATAATGCTATTTTCACGTTTCTAAAATGCTTTCAGTCATTTCTTATTGGCAATCTTACCTTTCAAAACTGTCAAAGCAATACCTGCACCTTAGAGATACTCATTAAGCTACAACATCACTTTAATACAAGGCCTATGTAACACTGATTTTCAGGTTTGCACATATACTCTAGAGAATAAAGCTTCTTTAAGTTGTAACACATAATTGCTTCCCTCCAAACATGTTACTCAAGTCCACCTCATATTGTAGGCAAAATTTACCCTTCTCAAACACTTTAAGAGAGTTGAAGATCCACTTTCAAAAATAAGGACACAATTAGATAAACTGAAGTGGTATCTGAGAACTTTAATAAAGACTTTGTTAAAAAATTTAAATGATATAAATTAGAAATGGGCAATTCATCTTGGAAATATGGGAGGGATGACAGATATGTAAACAAAGGTGTAGATAGTCCTTTCTCGCCAATTTTTCACCAGACCCTCATACATTCCAGTATCTGAATCATAAAATGATGTGACTTAACTGAGCTGCTCATTATAGTGGCAAAGTAGAGTACCACTCTACGTAAATCCACATATGCTTGTGGAATTAATCACTTCTAAGATGTCTCAATACAGTCTGAAAGAAGAAATCAAAATATGTGCAAGTGTATGTCCAAGTACTTAGAAAGAAATGTATTGCTATCTAAAATTTACTTTGAAATGCATCAAAAAAAAAAAAAGAAAAGAAAAAAAAAAAGAAAGAAAAGAAAAATGGATAAATAGGTGGAGAACTATCTGGTAAGGCAATTATAGTAAGATGTTAATAATAGACTCTAACTGGCAGGCATACAGGTGTTTATCTTCAAATTCCTTTGATTTCACTGCACACTTAAAAATTCTTATACCAGAATGTTGGGGAAAAAAATATAATAAAATTTAATCAAAATAAAAATTAAGCCCATTACATAACCAAAATGGATACAATATAAGAATATATAAGCCATAAATAATAGGCTGTGTCATCACAGCAAGATGACTTGTGGCCATATGGTTCTCTGAAGCACTGCTCTTGCTCTAGTGGAATGCTCACTAGGCAAATTTCTAGCTATAATTTGGATTTACATATAGATTGGCCAACAAGGAGTAAATAGAATCAGCAACATAAGTAACTCAGTAGTTATTTTTCATTCCACACTGGTCAACTGGTTTTCTTATTTTTACACAAGTCTCTTTGGAATTGGTTGACTACTAAGTCTGCTCCTCAGAGATTCTGGGTACAGAATAGAAAATCAGGTTTTCAGCCAGACTGCGAGTCTATTAGATGACACTGACAGGCTTCCCTAAATTCTGTTTTGTCTCTAATACACAATACATTTGTGTTTGTAAACTTATTGTGATGTAAAAGAATATATATGATTCCATTTATATAAAATCTCCAAAAGACATCAGTAATCTAGAGACAGAATATAGATCAGTGGTTCCTTGGGAGTGGAGGATACAGGGAGATAGGAAAGAGGGAGGCTGACTGGCATGGAGCATTAGGAATGTTGTAAGGTGATGAAAATGTTTTATGTCTTCATTGTGGTAGTGGTTGCACAGGTATATAGATTTGTCAAAGCTCATCAAAATACTTAAAATTATTACATGTTGTGTCTAAACTCTCTCTCAATAAACTGACTTTAAAAATAAGGATCATGAAAGGAATGTCTTTTAGGTTTCAATGCCTCTCCCACTCCAAATTTCCTCTTTGTGTGATATTTTTTTCCTTGACTAATATCCAGAAGATTACATCTTTTACAAGAGTAAAATATAACTTGAAGCACATGATAATGACTAACAGATGTAACACACAGATTTTCTTCTTAACTAGTTTATCCTGGTTAACAAATTGGTTTACAAATAAACCAATTTAGCAATATTTAAATCTACTATACTTTGAAGAGTAAAAATGAATGCAGCTTCAAATCTAACAGGAGTTTTTTCTCACATTAATGACAAAGTGATTTAGCCTGTATCATGATATTGCTGCTGTTAATCGTTAATGCTATAAGTAACTGGCTTCAGTAAATCCCTGTTCCTACTACTGTGAGCTTTAGTTAGCAAGACTGCAACACAATCTGATAGTCTTTTCCGAAGTGCCTCTCTGCCCAAGATTATGACAAACTAAGTTAGACAGATTTAGTCTGTCTAGCTTTTGTTCCTAACACAAAGTTTTGAATGGTTTTTCCTCAAAGAGAGAGTAATAAATAAGTGTGTTTATTCTGGCTAGCATGAAAATTGTCTTCCTAGTGCATTCTCTTCTCAATGCAATTCTTTGCCCCACTATTCCAAGGTGCAAAAGCTGAAATTTAGCCAGCTACTCACTAGGAACCCATTCTATGTGGACCCACACACACTCCAAAGCTAAAACCTTCAGAAACTCAACTAGTCATGTAAGGATATGAAAAGCCCTAAGATTACCACAGTTGACAATCACTACCAGGCAAAGCCTAGAACAGGAACTTTTTAACTTTTTTAACCATAACCCTTAGTAAGAAACACATTTCATTATCACAGCTCAGTGCACACATAATGTATAAAACATGTAACTGAAATAAAGGGTCATGAAACAGTATTTACCCTTAAACAACGCAAGATGCACTTTGATATTTTCTATTCTTTTTCTTTCTTTAAGATAGGGGGTCTCCCTTTGTTACCCAGGCTGGTCTTAAACTCCTGAGCTCAAAGGATTCTCCCACCTCAGCCTCCCAATGTGTTGGGATTACAGTCGTGAGCCATCATCATGGCAGATACCTTCTATTATTTAAAAATTCTCATCATTAGCTCTATTTCTTTCACAACTCGACAAGTGGGTCCTGATACATGTTTGATAAAAGACTAGACAACAACAAAGGGCTGTCTAGCTTCCCCATCATTCTACCAGTTCCTGGATTGGAGCTTTCTAATGCACTTCTCTCCACTAACTACATACCATGTGCCGGACACTGTTCCGAAGGTTTTAAAAATAAAAAGAAATATCTGAGGAAGATCTTAACTTCAAAGAGTCTTTAAGTTTGGTAATGGAGTGAAAACCTATACTGGAATCCTAAGAGATAAAGTAATACGGGAATTTGGAGGACAGAGATTTGTTTCAGCAGGGGATAAATCAACAAGGCTTAAACAAAAAAGGTACTATTTGAACTGTTTTTGTTTCTTCTTTGCTATCAGAGGTCTGCAGGATGAACTGGCCTAAAGTGAGAGAAAGATTTAGCTATGTGATGATGTGGAAGAAGGTGAAGTACTACAAATCAAGAGAGCATAAAAACAAAAACAGAAATATTTCAGCATGTGAACAGCAGACTAAAAGGTCCCATGTCTGAAGAAAAGCTACAGGCCAACTCCTGTCTCTCAAAATGCCAGGCAAACAAATTCTTCTGCAGATTGGTGGAGATCTGAAAGGTGTTTAGCAAAAAAAGTGACTGGATTATAATGCTTTTTAGAAAGATGCCAAGCAAAATTATTTAGTGGTTTTGAAGTGACCAGGACATACCTATTTTTAAATCCTAAGGTTAAAACCTCTATTCCAGGACAGGACGCAGTGGCTCATGCCTGTAATCCCAATGTTTTCGGAGACCAAGATGGGAGGATGGCTTGAGCCCAGGAGTTCCAAGTTACAGCGAGCTATGATTGCGCCACTGTATTCCAGACTGGATAATAGAGGAAAGCCCTGTATCCAAAAACAAACAAAAAAACTTTTCAAAAGCAAATATAAATGTTTTTTAGACTATTCAAGCCATATCATCTCATCTGCTAAGGCAGATAACGTGAGGATCAAATGAAATAAGAAAATGATTTAAACAACAATAAAAAAAACTCATCCTAAAAAGTGAAAATAAAACCTGTCCCCAAAGTTTTAGTTAATAAAAGAGCACCAGAATACGAGTTTTCTGAAACCTACCTGTTGTATAACCTTAAATGTGAATTTAGAAATGAGCACCAGATACTGAAGACCTCCTCTATGTGTCAGAGAATGCACCAGAAGATTCACATGAGTAAAAGTAATTCAGAGTCCTAGGACAAAAATCTCCTCTTCTTCCCCAAAGAACTCAGCCGCTTCCCCAAGGAACTCAGCAGAACCCATTAAAAGAAGTCAGAAACTCGTTTCTTCAATCTTAGGAAAAAATATAGTTCTACATCCCTTCTACTTGAACCTCCACACAAAATAATAACGGTTTCCAAAATATTCCTTAGCAACATATACAAGTGGTTTACCAACTGGGTTTCCCCCCCTAAACTATCACTACTACTGCCTACTTCCCTATCCCATCTTTCCGCCTCAAACAGTGTAATTCGCTTCCTCAGCACATGCTTCTCTGCAAGCAATGCTCTTCCATCTGTGGAAGAATTAAGAATTATCATCATTCTTCAACGCCAATCAAAAGTGCAGCGCTGATAAGCCTTTCACGGAGGCTAGCTCACGCATTGATACTTCACAGCACTGAACTTGACCCCTTTATAGCACTAACAGGTATTAACGACCTGTTCACCTGTCAATTTCCATCAGGTAGGCACAGTTCTTATTTACCTCTACGCATTGCTTCCCCAACACATGGGTTATATCTGGCATATACTAACTGCTGGATAATTGGTTGCCAACAGCAACCTCTCAACCTAAGGAAAACCCCACAACACTCTGTTAAAGTTTCTAAACATTTGCTGAGAAAACGTTAACACAGGATAAGAAAGTGTATCCGAATAAAATAAACCAAGAGATGAGTGGACTGAGTCAAACCTGACAAAAAGTAACATAGAAAGGTGAAAGCAAAAACAAAGGACCCCTCCCCCCCGCCAAATGTACTACATTCCCACAGGAGGGATAATTCACAAAATGAGGAGTGGATAAGACTAATAATATGAAAAGCAAGTTGCACAGCCTCCGGGAAAAAGAATGCGCAGGGCTATCAATCTTCTAAGAGTGAGGTTCCAGGCACCGAACGGACTGGTCTTACAGCCCGGGCAAAAAAGGAAGACCGCTTGGTTGGGCTGCAAGACGGAGGTGTGCGGTCCTGCTTCGGCGAACGGGGCGGGGAGGAGAGGAAATGACGAGCCAAAAGGGGTGGTAACGGCGCCAGGCCGGAGACTCGGGCGGAGCGGGCTGGGAGGTGGGGCGCGGCGAAGCAGGGGGAGTGGGCGAACTAACGGCCCCCCACTCCCCACCAGGGAGCCTGGGGGGCGGCCCCGTAGGGCTGCGAGGCGAGAGCGGGCCAGCCCCCTTGCTAGCCCCACTTGGGACCCCGCGGCCGCGACGCGCACCCTCCCCAGGCCTCTCCCTCCGACCTAGAGGGACTGTAGACAGAGGGACCAGGCTCGCGGGAGGCGGGGGGCGCGGGCCCCAGGGAGGCTTCCAGTCCCAAGGACTGGAGCGTGGAGAGTGCAAGGGCGGGTTTAAGTGTGCAGCCAGAATGACCAGGAGAAAATCGCCGAGGCTAAGGGAGCGCGTGTCCCCTTGTGCAGGGCCATTTGTGGCCCCAAGCCTGCGGCCTGAGAACCTGGGCCTAAGAGTCGGGGAACGGGGACGCATTCCCAACTGGCCCTGGCACTCTGCGAAGGTCGGGGCCCCGAGGTGCCTGCTCCTGGGGTGCCATCCCCGCGCGGGGCGGCCCCTGCAGGCCTCGGGCGGGAGTGCCCCGAGGCACTCGCAGGCTCCGGGCCGGGGCCGCAGGCCGCCCCACTCGGCTAGGCTCAGCTCGACTCCCCGGGCTCGACGGGCGCCTGGGCCTCTCCTGAGTGGTCAGCGAGACCCGCCAATCGGGGCGCTGGGGCCGGCTCTGGGCCGCTGGATATTGGCTCCTCACACTCACCGTGCCTCGCTCCCCCGGTTCGCTGCCCGCGCTGATTGGCTCCAGTACCGGACTCCGAAACCCAATCAGAGGCTCCAGCCGCCGCTGCCGCCGCCACTGCCGCTGCCTCGCAAAATGGCGAACCTGAACAAAGGGAAATAGGGCCTCCCTCCAACCGCCTTCGCGCAGGCGCCTCTGAGACCACGCCCCCTAACCCTAGTTCTGGGCTCGCCCCACCCCTTTGGAGGAGCAACGCGCAGGCGTCCCCTGCAGCCACGCCCACCTTCTGATTTAACACCACCTCCAGCCGAAGGAATACGCAGGCGCCTTCAAGAAGCGGCAGACCCTTCAACTCAAAACACTACCTTGAGCTTAGTTCTACGCAGGCGCTAACTAGCGCCTTTGCTGATTCCCCACCCCTTTCCAGGCGGCCACTAGGACACACCCCTGCGGCTACTACGCAAGCGCCACCTTTCCTGACTTGTAGTGGGCATTCTCGTTACGCATGCGCGGGCGGCGGCGGGAAACCACGGAATTTACTGCCGGAAGTGCGGCGGCCATAGCCAAAGAGTGTAGACTCGGCTAGCAAGCTAGAGGGGCTCGTTTCCGCCCCGCTACTGGGCGGGGGCGGCCATCTTAGGTGCGTGCAATTAAGGGCTGTGGCGGGATTGGCTCCGCGTTTGGGCTGCTCCGCTGCTCCCCACCTACTGGGGTCGTATTCGGAGCCCTTCCCCGCGGGGCGGGGATCCCCAAACAGCCGACTCCTTTTCAGGGGAAGGGTGACTGGGTAAGTTGCGGCTTTGAGCGAGCCTCCCCGCACCCTCCATAGGACTCCAGGACAGGACAGACCCTGCGTCCTCGTGGATCCGCCCTAGAGTAGGAGACAGAGAATGGGAGGCTTCTCTAGACTCTTTCCTACTCCCATGCACCGCCCAAAAAAAGGGGGGGGTGGCGAACGTTTTGAGAGGCCACTTTCCTTTCCCCACGCTTGGGGCTCACGCTCGTACCCTGTACACGCTGGTTGCGGCTTAACGGGACTGTGGCCAAGTCCTTCCTGTTTTCTTCTAAGCCACACCCACGGGGGAAATACTTCTGCGTCGTGCAGAGAAAAGGGGAGCGTCCTAAATCCGCCTTGCTCCGGAGCTGCAGTGGAGAAAGGAGGAGGCGTGTCTTAGGATGGGCTTTGCCTCGGCTGGCGGAGCGGGGCGCTCCAGGAAAGCGCGAAATGGGAGCAGATCCAGGCTGCCACCGAACCTAAGCGTTCTTCCTCTTTGCCACAGAAGAGTTTTGTATTACTTCCCAGGGGCCGAACAAACTCACATTCATCGATAAACATTCGAGGGGAAAATCCTATTAAGTGGGTGTACAGGGCAATCAATATTATATACTGAGGCTGCCTGTTTTTTACCTCCTTTTCTCTTCTCATAGCTGAAGAAACACTTAAATTCTGGAAATAGCGACTCAGTATCATGGCCAGCAGTCTTAATGAAGATCCAGAAGGAAGCAGAGTGCGTAAAAACTATTCATTTATTGGTGAACTGAAATTCATAATAATGGAGGTCAAAAGCCTAAACACTTTTAATTAAATCAATGATTGAATTATCCTTTTTTCTCTCTAGCTGATTCACTTAAGCTCAAAATTCTTGGCAGGGATCATCCATTACTTTCCTTTTACACATGCGGTAATTCATTGTAGTTAAATCCTGCAGATTTGGCTTTAAATCAGATCGCAGGAAGGGGTACACGGAAAGGTAGTGGTGGGGGACAAAATACAGAAAAATAAATAGCTTAGTATTTTTCTGCGTCTAATAAAACATTGTCTTTTCCTTTGCACATTTTTTAGATCACTTATGTGAAAGGAGACCTTTTTGCATGCCCCAAAACAGACTCTTTAGCGCACTGTATCAGTGAGGATTGTCGCATGGACGCTGGGATAGCGGTCCTCTTCAAGAAGAAATTTGGAGGGGTGGAAGAACTTTTAAATCAACGTGAGTTTTGGAAATTACCTCGTTTGACCTGGCTAGAGCACCTCTTGATCTGTTACACTTTAATAAACAAGATATATGTGTAAAGGGGATTCCTAAGAACCAAATGTTTTTAGATTTTTTTCCCCCCAAGAATGGCCTCTAGTTTGGACCCTTATCATATCAAACCTGAACTCCTGTGAAGGTTTTTAATCTCGTTCTCCTCTATCATAAAACCTTCTTCACGATATTGCTTCACTTGTAATAACTCTGAAATGCTTAGCACAATGTATAGGTTGGCATATAAGATCATCTACTTACCAATACTCTGCTTTTTCTTCAAAGAGGAATCTAGAAACCTTTTCTTCCTTACCCCTCCCATCCCTTTCTACTGATGACTTTAAACCAGAAATGTGCACTAAATTCCTATTGTGAAGCTTCTGAAAGTTTCTTAGACCACATTCCAGGCTTACAGAATCAGTGTCCACAGTGATTCTTAGCCCTACACAAAGGCAATTTTTTACTGCTTTGTATTGTAGTTATTTGTAACAATTATACCTTCTCTGGATTGAAAATTCTGTCATAATGCCTTTTTTATATGTCTGTATTCCTTGTAATGTCTTATACAGCTCTTTGAATGTAAAAAGATAATTATTGAATAAATACACATTTGGCAAATAAACTATACATTCCGAAACAATTTAAAGGCAATAGACAAAGTCTGTGGACAAATGAGGGTATATTTGAAAGTAGAAATAGGACCAGAGTTGGGTCATGAGGAAACATGTTTGTAAAAAAACTGTAAGTTAAGGAATGTAGTATTTGGGAATGCCGATAAAAAGCAAAGTGTGGGAGACAATAGGTCTTCCCTGTTCCCTTCAATGTTGAAAATTAGTATTGAGGTAAACTTGTAAAGATTTAAAAATCTAAGAATGTAGATCAGTGTTTGGTTTGCTTTTTCATTTCTACTATTAAATAACTTTTTCCTAGAAAAGGAATCTGGAGAAGTGGCTGTTCTGAAGAGAGATGGGCGATATATATATTACTTGGTAAGATGGAACCAGCCCTTTTTCTTTTTTTTCAGAGCCAATTCTTAATACATTTTAAGGATTGGTGAACAGATGGGCTGCACTGCATTTGTGTTGATCATGATGTTCCATTCTAGACAACTAAGGATGTCAAAAGGCCTCCTATCTTATGACTACTCAGGTCCAGTGATGGCAGCTACTTGGAGCACTGGGTTAGAAAGGAATGTGAGGTGACATCCCAGCTGTGTGGGAAAGTCCTGTGCCATTTACCATAGGCTTGTTCTGAGACTTGCAAAAGTTAGGAATGCCTCCTATACTATATTTTTTAAGCAGAGTGAGGTAAAAACAATAATGTCTCAAGAGACAGAGTCCTCAAAGGAGCTTTTCTTGTATTCCATGTCACATAGCACACTGACAGCAAGGGAGTGAAAAAAAAAAAATAAGTGCAGTGCCAAATAATACCTAGCTCCTCTCCTAACTACTGCTTGAATGTGGGGTTCTTCAACAGTCCAAGATGTTATTTGGTCCCTGAAAGGGTGTGGCTTCCTTGGTGATGGTGGTGGATAACTTATAGCTAACCACCTACAAGCCTGATCTGGATGGCAAACTGAGTAGGGAGATGTCCTAACCCCTTTGAATTCTGTCCTTAAAGCTTATGTGGCTTCCAGTGTTTTTACTTTGGGACACTACCAGTTTTTTCTATTGTTTTATATAAAGAAACATCAAGCAAGCAAGCATAGTTGCTAAATAAATAGAGGCCTTTTTTAGCAGGAAATTTTCAGGTGGTGTGCATTCTTCCTTGTTATAGATATGCAGCTTATCTCTTGGAAGTGGCACAGAGAATTTCACCTACCTTGCTTAAAAATATTGACTTTAGACACCACCTGCTAATCTTGGGTTTTCTGGGAAAAGGAAAGATTACTACGTGGCAGGATCTGGTTTTCTCAGTCTCTACTTAGTGGATTTCTTGAGGATCTCCCATAACGGTGTGGAAGGGGCAATGTGACGTGACATTTGTCATCCTTGCTCTA